CACTGTAACAATCCTCTCAACACTGCAGTCTGAAAGGACCCATCTTGGGTCCTTCTCTCTTTCTTCGCTGGCTCCCTGGATGACCTCATCCAATCCCAGGTTCTAAATACTACCTAAGTTGACAACTACAAAATTTTTCTCTCGTCCAGACCTTTCCCCTAAATTCCAGGCTTGAATATCAATAACCCAAATACCTAACAGGCACCTCAAACTCATCATGCCAAAAAGTGAACTGCCAATCTGTTCTCCAAACTTGCTCTTCTTACAGTTGTCCCTATGCTTGTTGACAGCAACTCAATCTTTCTAACTGCTCAGACCAAAAACCTTGGAATCATCCCTGGCCCCTCTCGCATGCATCTGATGTAACAAGTCATATTGGTTTGATCTTCAAAGTATACCCAGAATTCAACCACTTCTCACCGTTTCCTGTTACCTAACACCTCTGTACAAGCTACCAGCATCTCTCTCCTAGATTACCAACTTCCTTACAAGTCTTCCTGCTTCTACTATTATTCCCCCTTGCAAATTGAGTGATCCTTCTGAAGGTGAAAGTGAATCATGTCACTTCTCTGTTGAAAGCTCTGAGAAGTCCTTATACTAACAGGTCCACAGAGACCTGTGAAATCTGCACCCACCCCAACCCAATCTACTATTACACTTTTTTGTTAATTCCATTCTAGTCATACTGGACCAGAACTCACTAGGTCTGCCTCAGTGCCAAATAAATATTTATTCTCCCTTCTTGGAATGCTTTCCCACCATGTATTAACATGACTAACTCCCTCCCCTTTAAGTCTCTGCCTATATAGCACTCTCAAAAAGGCTCACCCAGTCCAGCTCATTTTATAGTTGTTGGTTTTTTATCCTCGCCTGAGGATATGTTCACTGATTTTAGAGGAAGGAAGGGCGGGGGGCAAGAGAGAGAAACATCAATGGGTTGCCTCCCATGTACGCCCCAAGTGGGGATCGAACCCACAACCTAGGTATGTGCCCAGATTGGGAATGGAACCCACTACCTTTTGGTGAACAGGACAATGCTCCAACCAAACCACTCAGCCAGGGCCCCAGCACAGCTCATTTTGGATTACAACATCTTCCCCAGAAATTTTGGAGCCCCCTTGCATTGCTCCATTTTTCAAAGCACTTACCTTTGAACATCCTATATTATTTATTGTTTACCACACTAGTGGATGCCTAGCAAGTAAAAAATCAAAAGTCTGTTTTCTATAACCCTTAGTGTGCCTAAGATTGGCACAAAATAGACATGCACATGTTCAAAGAACAGCACTTTTATCACTGCAAAGTACTTGCCTGTCACTAGAAGAGTTCCTTAAAGACTCTGGCCCTAATTTGCAGTGTCCTCAACACCTGGCCCTGGGCCTACCCAACAGCAGGCACTTAAAGCACAGACACTAAGGTGATTACAGCCATTTTCACCTGAAACACAATCCTATATGCCACAGAAAAAAGCCAGGTCTTACAGCTGTGCCCAATTAAAGAGTGGGTCCAAGACAAAATCCTAACACCAGGTTCCAACAATTACTTCAAACTGAATTTACCTGTTTTGTGCCTCCATTTTTTTTTTCACGTAAGAATCGTTGTCAAACTAGTCTAAAAAGGGCACTTGGTCATTCTTTCCCGCCGCCATGTCACCCCCCTCTCAGGCCCAGCTACTCTTTTCATGCTTGACTTCAAATCCTAACTCTTAAGTTTCCCCTGAGGGTCCCTGAGGACCCCAGCTAGAAGCAATTACACATGCCACACTCTGTGCCAAGTGCTTTTCACACATTTTGCTCATTCAATCCTCCCAGCAGCCCTATGAGTTTGCTTATATACCTATTTCAAAAATGAGAAATCCAGGCTTAGAGAGATGAAGTCACTCGTCCAAGGTTCAACTAGTGTTCAAATTCAGGTCTGACTCCGTAATCCTGTATCTTTAACCCTACACTGGAGTGCTTTCTCTCTCCCCAACGGTGCAGATGCTAACTATCTTATACATACCCCCTCACAGAGTTTGCTGTCACTTCACTTTTCTAGGCTTCAGTTTCTGCATCTGTAGAACAGGTGATAAAGTTCAGGATGTCTACCAAGGTCCCTTCCAGTTCTCATAGTATAATGACAGAAAACATTCTGTAATTCTCTAAACAGTCCAGACAGGTCAACACACACACACACACACACACACTCTTCCATGCACACACGCACACTCTTCCATACACACATGCACACTCTTCCATGCACACACACACTCTTCCTTGCACACATGCACACTCTTCCATGCACGCACATGCACACACACACTCTTCCATGCACACACGCACACTCTTCCATACACACATGCACACTCTTCCATGCACACACACACACTCTTCCATGCACACACACACACACTCTCTCTCTCTCTTCCAAACTTAAGTCACTCTCAGCAATCCAAAGCGGTAGAGACAGAAAAGTAGAGAAAAACCTCCAAAACCTTGTGTAAAATAATAAAACATTCTCGAGTTCTCCCCACTCAGGTCTATCAAGGTGCACTTGAGTCCATTTTCCCACAGAATATGAAAATGTATGTTTTCCCCAAAGAAATGTTAAGGATGTGATCCTTAAAGCTTCCGGACTTTGCCAAGCCACCTGGAAAGGAACTGAAAGCAGGCACCTCGCCCATTCAGGGGCTACCCTGTTATTCTGTAAAGGACAAGTGCTCAGTAAGAGTTTATTGGACCATGACAGTTTTTTTTTTCTTCCAGGTCTTCCAAGCCCCAAACTAAAAGCCTATAACATCAGCTTTGTCATTTGACCAATGACAGTATAGTAAATCAAAGCAACCTAATTAAGGCCACCATTAACCCACAAGCAAGAACCCATGAAAGGAAAACGCCACGTTGACACAACTCATTGCAAGGAAGGGCTGGGTTTTGTCTCAGCAAGGCAGAATAATATTTCTTTGTGCAGCGACAGCCTCGGACACCCCAGCGGAATCCTCCCCCCGTTTTGCTCTCCAAACTAAGAACTACCAAGATCCATCGCTTTTCCGCCTCTGGGCCGCCAGCACGGGCAGCACTCCTAAGATCCAGACACTTCCAGGCCCAGGTGAAAAGCTTTTTGGCCCAGGGCTCAACACCGAGGGCCACCGCAGAACCACCGTGAAACGGGTCCCGAGAGCAAACCTACTGGCAGCCTTCTGGTCACACCAAAGTGACAGTTTCGTCTGAGCTCCCTAGCAGCGCTACGGCAGGTCTAGACTTCCACCAACGCCAGCGAACGGAGTTGAGCGAGCGCTCCGCAGAACAACAGTCCTGCGAGTCCGCAGAGAAAGGAGCGAATCCAGGCAGCGAGCGGAGCGGAAGCTCCCCGAGGTATCGCGGACAGGAGCAGACGTCGCCCTTAACAAAACGTAAAAATGTCCTAGGATGGAAAAAACAAAAAACAAAAAACGAACACTGTTGGGCAAACCTGCATTTCGGTTTTGGTTTTTTTTTTTTTTTTTTTTTTTAGCATACTGTCTCTTTAGGGGACTCCGCACACACGACTCCCGGTTTTTAAGCAAGTCTTCGCAGGGAGCGGAAAGTCATCCTTTTAGGGTGAGAGGCTGCTGTTACCGAGGAGGCAGAGTGTCCTTTCCCAAGTGTGCGGCTCTCTTAATCTGGAAGAGAATGTGTGTCCCCTCTGAAGGCTTTCACTTTCGGGCGGAAAACAAGCCCGGTGTCACCCCAACGCCGGGGCTGCTGCACCAGCCTCGCCACCATTACAAACCCCAAGGACCAAAGGTGCGGAATCTGTAGCCGGAAGCGCTCCGAGGCCAGGATCCAGTTCCAGGAGGAAAAAAAAAAACCAAAAATCAAACGCCAAAGTGCAGCGCGGGCCCCCTCCGCTGCCCCGGTCCCAGCGACGCGCGCTAGGCCCTTCCGGTCCGCGGCGCCGTGGCCAGGAGGCCGGGTGACGGGTCGGGCTTCCACCCGAGCCCGGGGATTCGCGGCCTACCCTCGCCAGGACCGTCGCGCCGAGTCGGGCCCCGGCAGCTCCTCCGCCTCGGCCCCCTGTGCCTGCAGCGCGGCCTCGGCCGGCCGCGGGGGGCCGAGGAGGCCGAGGAGGCCGAGGAGCCTCGGGCCGGCCCGGTCCGAGTGGACGCGGCGGCCGGCCGGCCGCGGAGGCCGTGGCCGCCCATCCCCCACCGACCCGGCCCAACCGCCGCTGCGACGCGAGGAGCGGCGCCAACGCCGGGCCCAGCCGCCGACCCGCGGCGGCCCGGGCGAGGCGGCGGTGGGGGCCCGCTCCCCAGGCCGCCCGCGCGGGTCCACCGCAGGCCCGTTACTCCTCGCGCCGGCCCGCGCCGGCCCGCGCCGCCGCCCGTCAGGACGCGCCAGCCCGGGCCCGGGCTCGGGCTGAGGCGGCCGACGGCAGCGGGAGGCCGCGGAGCTGATACTTACTCAGGGGTCGGGTGCTCAGGGTCGTAGAAATCCCCCATCTTCGGAGACGGCTGTGGCGGCAGCTGCTTCATCTGGAGCGGCTGGAGGCGGCGACGCGAGCCCCCTCCCCGCGGCAAAGCGACGCGAGGGAGGGGAGGGGTGGGGAGGAGGCCGCTGGTCCGACCGCGGCGGCGGCGGCGGCGGCGGCGGCAGGGGCGGCCCGCGTCGCTCGTAGGCTCCCTCCCTCCCTCCGGCGCCCTCCCGCCCGCCGCTGTCTCCCCCACACTCATCGGGGAGCGACGCGCTCCCCGCCCGCCCCTCGGCGGCTCAGGCCCGGCCCCTTAAAGGGACACGCACCGTCCGCGCCTGTCAGCGCGCCTGCAGCTGCGAGTCGGCCCCAGGCCGGCGCAGGCGGGGCCGGGCGCAGGCAGCCGGCCGGCCGACCGGCCGGACCCGGGGTGCGGCTTCCCAGAACCACAATCCGGGGCCGGAGCGCTGCAGGCCGGACCTGGGCCGGGAGCCGCGGCGCCGCGCCCTCTCCCTCCAGCCTTGCAAGACGGCCCGGGGCTGCGGAATGAGCTGGCAGCCTCAGGCTTGGTGGCAGACGACGTCGGGACAACAGCCGGACCCCACCGACACCGGAGCCTTCCTGCCTCGCCACCCTCGAAGACCTGCCCTCCCCGGAGCACCTTGAGTCCATAGCGGCGCCGAGGGCCGCGGTCTCCTCGGGCTCTGAGGTAGGCCGGCCTCCCCGGCCCCTCTTCCCCCTCGCCCCTCGCCCCTCGCCATTGTTTCTTCTCGCTTCTTCTCCCCCTGGCCTCTCCATCTCGTCTCCTCAGCAAGGACGGAGACGGAGCTAAACCCCGGGTTCGCCCTCGGCCGAGCTCCCGGGACGCCCCCTCCTCCTCCCCCCCCCCGTCCCCCGCCCCACCCTGGCGCCGTCTCCTGCCCTCACCCCAAATCGGGAAGGCTGCAGCCGCTCCCGTCTTCGCGGTTCGGAAGGCCTTAGAGGAAATGTCCTTAAGTTGTTAATCACCTGCCTGCAAAAACGACAAGGTGAGATTGAGTAGGATTACTTGAAAGAGCGGCGGGCTTTTTTTTTTTATTTTCGGAGGAAGGAGCAAGAATGCATACAGCCGTTCGCTGGAACCCTCGGGACCTGGAAGAGTTCATGGCAGTTGAAATTGGGGCAGGAGTTCCTAGGATGAACTTTTTGGTAGGTTTTCTTTTGCCCACTGAAATTGTCGGTCGGGTTTTAGCAGCGAGACCGTTGAGTGGAAGTGTGTGTGCGTTACGGACGGAAAGCCGGGGTAGCACGCCCGCCCGATCTGCGCGTTAATACCCCAGTTCCGAAGATGGGGGGCGGGGTGGGGGGGGGCGGATGAGGTCTGGAGCCGGGAGCCCTAGCGGGTGGGGATTTGCGTCGCTTAGGGGACCCCCCCCCGCCCCGCGCCCCGACCTCTCTCAGCGTCTGCCGCGCGAGGACGCTGGGAGGGAAGGGGCAGAAGAAGGCTCTCACCAGAGTGCGGCCATGCTGGCACCTTGACCTTGGCCTTTCGGCCTCCAGAACTGGGGGAAAAAATATAAATGTCTTTTGTTTACAGTGACCCAGTCTATAGTGTTCTGTTACAACAGCCTGAACTAAAACAGTGTGTCGTGATTACTGAAATGGGATCTAAGAGAATAAATATCTTTTACTAGCTCTTTATTTATATTCTCAGATACGCGTGTATGTATACATGTAAATATAATTATATATGTGTGCTGTGTCTATTACTGTTTGATCAACATTATGTCTTACTTGGGGATGACGTTGGCATTTTCTAAAGACTTTATTTATTTATTTTTAGACAGGGGAAGGGTGGAATAAAGAGAGGGAGAGAAACACCAATGTGTGGTTGCCTCTTGCACACCCCCTACTGGGGACTTGGCCTGCAACCCAGGCATGTGCCCTGACTGGGAATCGAACCCGGGGACCCTTTGGTTAACAGGCCAGTGCTCAATCCACTCAGCCACACTATCCAGGGCCCTTGGCATTTTTTTCTGGTACCTTTAGGCATAGCATCCAGGTCCAGCGACCACAGAGCTCCCTAGACAGGTCACCCATGGCCACTTTTCTACAGACCATAAATGTTACCTAATTTCTCTGTGCTTTTTCTCATTGTGAGATGAGAGTATGAATGTGGCCAGGCCCTCTCGCACTGTTCCTAGTATTCAATGGGATAGTATTTGTAAAGCCTGGAAGCCTCAGTAAATGTTGGCACTTATTCAGATGTAGTGCACTGATTAAGAGCTAGCACTACCTAGCCTTGGGCCCCAGCACTTCCTAGCTATGCGGCATTGGGCATGGTTACTTTTCATGCTCCTAGTGCCTTATCCGTAAGATAGCGTTATTACCCACAGCACAGAGTATTGTGATTATTAAACTAACAGGCATGCTTGTGCGATGCCTGTTATTGAGAAAGTGTCCAGTAAGTGTTACCTTTGAGGCTTTGGCTCGGGCCCTGTGCCTCAGGTGCCACATAGGCTTTTGGGAGCCACTTGATACTGGAGAGAATAATAAAAGGCTATTTTAATTTTAGGTGGAAGTGGCTGAAACCACATAAGTATGAAGTTGATATGGATCTAAACTGATGTGAATGAGAAAAAAGCAGTCAAGTACAGGTTTCCTGTTCTTTTTTAAATGCTTTTTTAAAAAGATTTTATTGACTTATTTTAGAGATGGGAAGGGAGGGAGAGAGGGAGAGATACCATGTGCAGTTGCCTCTCATGCACCCCATACTGGAGACCTGGCTCGCAACCTAGGCATGTGCCCTAGACTTTTTAATCAAACCTGCGACCCTTTGGTTTGCGGGCCAGCCCTCAATCCACTGAGCCACATCAGCCAGAGCAGTTTCTTATCATCTTACAAAGGAAACAGTTCACTTGCAGGAGGTGGTGCAGCTGGGGCTTTGTAATACCTGGTCTGAAGATAGCATTAGTCTGGTTATGGAACCCAGTGCAGTAAGCATATAACCCTGGGGGTCAGTGGAAAATACTAAGGCACAAACATAAGTAAATGAACTAAATTTTTACAGGCAAGACGGCTGGAAGATTGAGTACTACTAAAAGCCCTTATCTATTACTGTGCTAGGGGCTCTTCGTACACACATTTTAAAATTGGAGAGAATGAAGCCTCAGAACACACACTCGGGCCTGTTCTCTCCATCAAAGCTGTGGAATAATTTGGTCTTCAGCCTATAATTATTATTAGATACTGGCAGTCTCCTACTTTCTTATATAAAGCCTTCTGCGAAAGTGTGTCGATGTAAGAACGTTCAAACCAGTAGAGAATTTTTATGAGTTCATTTGAGCCAAACTGACAATTGCCAGGAAAGAAGATCGCCAATGCTCCAGAGAATAACAGTTTTGTAGCTATTTTTTTAATGCATTGGAAATTAAGGAGGGAATGTAAGGTTACAGGAGAGTGGGAGGAAGCAAGGTGGGGAGTAGATTACAGGACAGTTAACAAGATTATGAGTATTTCAAAGATGTGTTAACCTAGACTCACAGAAACAATGAACAGACCTTGCTTAAGGCCCAGATAAATTGTTTTACTTATAAGCTACATGCCTGTGGAGTGACTACCTACCATGTCCTGCCCAGTTAGGAATTTATGATTGGATCACCTTGTGAGGTTACTTTCCATAGAACCCCTTTTTCCTCCACATGTGTTTGAAGGGAAAATGTCAACTCAAAGTGAAACCTAAGAGGCATCCCCTTCCTAGAATATTAAAAACCATAATTGCTCCTGTCATTATTGCCTCCTGTTAGCCCTCCCATCCCAGGGGACCACAGGGTAGCCAGTAATAGTGGAACAAAGTTGATTTGGGCATCTTTTGCCTTAAGGGAGACAGAGGGCAGAAAGTTGGACATTGCCCGCCGTTAGGCTCCAGGTACTTGGTAAAGGGATGAATTTAAAAAATGCAGTTGTGCGGGGGGAGCACCAGTTGATTCCCCGACCACATTCTCCAGAACTACTATTTGTAAACAAAAGTTCTGAGGTGATAGGTTAAGAGACAGTTCTTAGGACTGACACAACACAGAAGCAATACAACGAAGACACCGAGGCCCTCTGAGGTGCCCCTGTTCAGTGTGCTCAGGCCGTAACTCTGTTGCGTCATTCGGGAACCTGGCTAAGTCTCTAAGAGAGAGAAAAGATGGTTTCGTCTTGAACCGCAGCTGAAAGTGAGTGAGTGAGTGAGTGGAAGCCACCCCTACTCACTCCCTCTTGCTTCTTCCCATCCCACTCTTTCCTCACCAAATCCTCCCCCCAAGGGAGGATTGTCCAAGTGTTGTTGGCTGTGCTCCTCAAGCATTGCCAACTTGAGAGGGGAAAGCAAGCTACAGGCCTAGACTCCTCCGAGTTCCTTTGCCAAGTGGGTGGTGGGGAAGCAAGGCTGACAGTGCCAACTAGGCCACTGTGGGCAGTGGGAACCAGGCAGCTTAGAGAACCAGTTTCTACCCACGCGCACCCTTGCTTTTCAGAGTCAGGCCCATTCCTTTATACATTTACATAGATATGTGCAGTGCAACAAAATGGAAAGTCATTTTAGGCTTAATCAGCATACAAAAGAAAGGTACCACGATTTCTTTTTTTTTTTTAATATTTATTTTTAGAGAGGGGAAGGGAAGGAGAAAGAGATGGGGAGAAACATCCATCTGTGGTTGCCTCTCATGCACCCCGTGGGGACTTGGCCCGAAACCCAGGCGTGTGCCCTGGACTGGGAATCGAACTGGCGACCCTTTGGTTCACAGGCTGGCACTCAGTCCACTGAGCCACACCAGCCAGGGCAGAAAGGCACCATAATTTAGATGGATGTTTAACTGTTCTATACAAAGCTGTCACGTTCTTTGGCCCTGGAATTTCTTGGCAGGGCAGGGGGTGGTGGGGTGTGTGGTGTGGAGGGATCACAGCTTACTTTTATTTGTTTCATCTACACATCTCAACACAAGAGGAATCTAAAAACAATACATGATCTACATTGAGCCCTACCACATACACTGTTTGCATTAAGTCAGCAGCTCCCTTAGTGCTTTGTTAACTGAATCTCATTGCATAATACTGTATAAGTCTGTCTTCCCAACTCTTACAAGTTGGCTGTAGGCAGAAGCATTCATTATTGTCTCTCCTTAATGACTTAGAGTGTTTCACTCAGTACATGTCAAGTGTTTATTTGCTATTTTTTTTGAAAGCCTTACTTTTTTTACTCTTTTTCTTTTAGAAATCCTTAAAGTGTTCACAATGGATTTTTCTGTCAACACTGGATTGTTGAGCAGCTAACAAGCTGTTTTAACAACCAGTCTTGTTTCATAAGCTGTTTCATTTGGGCTTCAAGGTGCCGACCTGAGTGTACAGGAATATTGTTATTCGTTTTTTGGGGGGGCGGTGCTTTTGGGGGCCAGTATCTTTATTGAATTTTATTAAGGAATAGTTGTAGTCTGCAGAATTTGGTAAATTTTTTTAAAGATGAAGTTGGGCAAGATGCACAGAAGATCTTCACTTACTATATAAGGTACTTGGGTACTTCCCATCCTTCAGTAAGCTGAGAGTTTTCATTTCGTGGTAGTTGCCCCAATTTATCAAAGCAAAAATGTGTAAAATAGAGGCCACTTCTGACAACACTAAAATCTTCCTTGTTGTTTTTAATGGCGCAAGATTCTTCTACTTTATGATCCTCTTCCAGCATCACGTTGGATGGCTAAGGCAAAAAGTTAAAGGAAGTCTTTTCCACATCATTTTTCTGCTGTTCCTCAAATCTTTTTACTGAATTTGATACAAATTCCCATTTCTTGATGGTATTACTTTGAAATAACATTGTTCATAAATAGAATCTATAATAAAGGTCCACATAACTTAGTGCTGTTTACCAAATTGGTAGAGTCAGAATGTTCAATTTTCATTACATTTTCTTACAATGTTATGTGTTAAGGAATATAAGCACCTATTAAACATTGATGAAGATCATAAAATTCAACTATTGACTCTCACTTTTGGTGCCAGAATGTCATATGTGTTAAAAGACATGCAACTATTTTGAAGATGACATATTCACTGAGCTTCTGTTTGTTTGTTTTTCAAAGATTTTATTTATGTATTTTTTTTTAGAGAAGAGGGAGAGAAACATCGATCAGCTGCTGCCTCTAGCACACCCCCAACTGTGGACCGGGCCTGTAATCCGGGCCTGTAATCCAGGCACGAGCCGGAATGGGAATTGAACTGGCCACCTTTTAGCTTGTAGGACAATGCCCAACCCATTGAGCCACACCTGCCAGGGCTGAGCTTCTGTTTTGTTGCGGGGCTAGGTATTCAGACCTAAAATTTAAATTGAGTTTTCATCCCTTCCAACATAGACAATTTCAAAAGATACCATCGTGTAGTTCAAAAGGGACTAACAGACGGAACCAAAAATAGTATTCAAACAATGGTGTCCCATCAAAAGTTAAACAGACTGTTAATGACTATAGAATCTAGAATACTTTCAATTCTTCTGTGTTTGGGAATTTTTTCATAATGACATATAGAGGAAAAATATGTCATGAAAAAAGATCAGACTTTGAATCCTGAAAAGGTAATTTACCAACTGCTTTCAGGGATCTTTACAAATTCTAAAAGGAAAACTACCTAAACCAAAATTATTTATACAGTTTTTTTAAAAAATCCCTAACATTGTAAATAAACATACTTATAAATCTTGCTAGAGAAGCTGTCCATATGTAACTAAAGCCAAATGGAAACATTCGGTGTGTTTTCCCTAGAGCTTTGCAATGCACCTTTACCTTGGAAACCATTTCAAAGTAAAAGAACTTTAAAATGAATCCCCAATCTTAATCAAGCAATTAACTATTTCTCTTTGCATCCCTTGGATCCTCAAGTCCCCCAACTCTACATTCTAGGACCACCAGCTTCAGACCAAAAAACAAAACACAAAAAACAAAAACAGGTCTACACCCAAATCTAAGTACCCAATATGTCCTAAAGCACAACTGTAACAGTACTGTAGCAACTTCAGCTGGGCTGCAAAGAATGAAATCAGGTGACTCTAAAAAGTCTACAAACAGCTGCAACAGTCTGAAATAACCCTAAAAACCTGGCCCCAGACAGGGTAATGGGAGGTGCGAATCTAGTCCAGATACAGATCCCAGAAAAGAGAAGAGGCTGGAGCAGAGGCCTACCCACCTTCCACCTTGGCGGGGCAGTGGAAGGGTGGGGGGGTTGTTTTTTCTTTTTTTCAGTATGTGTTCATCGTCTTCCCTACAAGATCCTCAAACACTCAGGGATCTGATTATAGTGCTTGCTCACTTGTTTGTTTAGCCCTTCTTGTTTTGGATCTTAGCACCCTTCCAGAGAACTCGTCCCCAGAGCTTCTTCTTGTCTCTTTCCTTCCAGCCTTGTCTCTCCCAGCAGAGGATGAGACTGCTCAAGATTACCTCAGTTTTGTGGATGAATAAACCGAAGATCCTAGAGGTTGAGGTACTTTTCTAAGGTCACGTTAGCCTGGTTATCTGATTGAAGACACTTTGTTGTTTAAAGATTTTATTTATTTATTTTAGAGAGAAGGGTAAAGAAGGAGAAAGAGACAGAGAAGGAAACAGATTGGTTGCCTCTCGCACACCCGCAACTGAGGACCAGGTCTGGAATCCAGGAAGGCCCCCTGATGGCATTCAACCTGAAACCTTTCTGTCCACTGGCCCACACTCAGTCCACCGAGCCTCAGCAACCAGGGTTGATTCAAGATGTTTTCAGACAAATCTGGAGTTTATATCAACAGAAAATAATCCCTGATACAGGAAGGAATGAGGAACAAAGAAATCGGTACATAAGTGGTTAAAACAAAAAAGTATTTACCATAAAAAGTAATAATAATACATAATTGATGTGGTTAATAAAGCAAGATTGGACTGATATCCTGGACAACACGGTCATTGGAAAGTAGGATGGTCAGGGCAACAGGACTGGAGTTGAAGTCTTCCAAGGCCCTTGTATTGCTTGGGAAGAGGGTAAAAGTATCGATTAAGCTTTAGTCTTTGAAATATACAAGTTAAAATATCTCAGGTAACTACTAAAACATCAGATAATTTCCAAATTAGTAGAGGGAGAAATAGAATTTAAAAACAAAAAACACAAGACATAAAGATAGAAAAAAGAAGTAGTGAAACAAATAGAAATCACACAAAAAATATGGTAGAAAATTAATACAGACATTTCAGTAATTATAGTAAATGCAAATGGAATAAACTCTCTGGTTTAAAAAAAAAAAAGAAGAATGTAGTGGACAAAATAAAATCCAGCCCTGGCTGGTGTGGCTCAGTGGATTGAGCACCCGCCTGTGAACCAAAGGGTCTCTTGTTCCATTCCCAGTCAAGGCACATGCCTAGGTTTTGGGCCAGGTCCCTAGTAGGGGGTGTGCAAGAGGCAACCACACATTGGTGTTTCTCTCCCTCTCTTTCTTGCTCCTTTCCCCTCTCTAAAAAGAAATAAATAAAATCTTTAAAAATAAAAATAAATAAAATCCAACCATATGCTCTTTTTGATACATTCTTAAAACAAAGAAGGCCCTGAATGGGTAGCTAAGTTGGTTGGAGCATCGTCCCAAATTGCAAAGTTACAAGTTTGATCTCTGGTCAGGGCACATATGAGAAAGAGCTAGTGAATGCATAAGTGGAATAACAAATCGATGTTTCTCTCCCTTTTTTCTTTCCCTTTCTCTCACTCTCTAAAATCAATAAATAAAAATAAATTTTAAAAAGACCAGGAATACAGAAAATTGTAAAAGGATGGGAAAAGATGTCATGCTTATATAACAGTAGAAAGCTGGTAGAACTATGTTAACATCAGACAAACTAAAAATAAATGAAGGTTACTAAATGATGATTAAAAGTTCAGGAACCTAGGACTTCAGAATTCTAAACATAAATGCACCTAATTACATATCCTTAAAATATAAAAAGCAAAATTTAACAGAACTAGAAGGAAAGTAGATAAATTTACCATTATAGTGTAGATTGGGTTTTGTGTTTTTTTTTTAATTTATTGATGAGAGAGAGAAATATCAATTTGTTGCTCCACTTATTTGATTCTTGTACGTGTCCTGACCTGGGATCAAACCTACAATCTTGGCGTATAGGGATGACACTCAAACCAACTGAGCTATCTGGGTAGGGCACTCGTTTATAATTTTATAAGACCGCTGTGTATATGGTCTGTCATTGACTGAAATGTTATTATGCAGTGCATGACTGTATTTTAAAAGGAATCTTTTTTTTTTCTGATCAGTACATCTCAACAGTGGGCTTAAAATATTCACCAAACCATGTTGTAAACAGATGTGATTTTACCCAGGCTTTGTTGTCCCATTTATAGAGCACAGACAGAGCAGATTCAGCATAATTCTTAAGGACCCTAGGGTTTTTGGAATGGCAGATGAACACTGGCTTCAGCTTAAAGTCACCAGCTACATTAGCTCCTAACGAGAGAGTCAGCCTGTTCTTTGAAGCTTTGAATCCAGGCGTTGACCTCTCCTCCCTGTGAAAATCCTAGACAGCATCTTCCAATATAAGGCTGTTTCATCTTCAGTGAAAATCTGTTGTTCAGTGTAGCCGCCTTCGCTAATTATCTTAGCTTGGTCTTCTGAATAACCTGCTGCAGCTTCTATCACGTCAGCACCTGCTGCTTCACTTTGCATTTCTATACGATAAAGATGGCTTCTCTCCGTAACCCTCGTGAAGCAACCTCTGCTCCCTTCAGACTTCTGCAGGTCCCTCCGCTCTCGGCCTTCACAGCGTTGAAGACAGTTAGAGCCTTGCTCTGGATTAGGCTTTGTTGAGGGAATGTGATGGCTAGGGAATGTTCTACCAGACCACTAAAACTTTCTTCACATCAGCAGTAAGGCTGCTGCACTTTCTTTTTTCTTTTTTTTTTTTAAGATTGTATTTATTTATTTATTTATTTATTTACTTATTTATTAGAGAGGGGAAGGGAGGGAGAAAGAAAGAGTAATATCAATGTGTGGTTGCTTCTTATGTGGCCTCCACTGGGGACCTGGCCTGCAACCCAGGCATGTGCCCTGACTGGGAATCGAACCTGCGATGCTTTGGTTCGCAGCCCATGCTTAATCCACTGAGCTATGCCAGACAGGGCTTTGTTGCACTTTATCATTCATTATCATTCGTCTGTTCTCTGGAATAGCACGTTTAATTTCCTTCAAGAACTTTTCCTTTGTGTTCACAGCGTGGCTGTTCGGGGCGAGAGGACTGTCTGCCTTTTGGCCTGTCTTGGCCTTTGACATCTTCCTCACCCAGCTCAATCATTTCATCTTTTGATTTGAAGTGTGAGACTCACGACTGTTCTTTTCACTTGAACACTTAGAGGCCACTGCAAGGTTATAAAATGGCAATTTTAATATTACTGCCTCGGGGAATAGGGAGGCCTGAGTAGAGGGAGAGACACAGGGAAACGGCAAGTTCATGGAACAGTCAGACCACACACATTTATCAGTTAAGTTCGTTGTCTTATGTGACCATGCTTCATGGCGTCCCAAAACAATTACAATAGTAACATCAAAGATCAGTGATCACAGATCGCCATGGCAGATCCAATAATAATGAAAAAGCTTGAAATATTATAAATATTTCACAGATATACTTCGTGTAACAGAGACAGCAAGTGAGCAAATGCTGGAAAATGGCGCCAATGGACCTGCTTGGTGCACAGTTGCCACAAACCTTCAATTTGTAAAAAAACACAGTGTATCTGCAAGGCACAATAAAGCAAGGTGCAATAAAACTAGGTATGTATATAATAATCTTAAAATAATGGTAATTAAAATTTGCATTTGAACAAAATGTGTTTATGGTCTACTCCTTGTATATACAATTACGATTTTAAAAGGTATTGCCACATTTTTATCCAAAAAATGTGTACTAATGTATAAAGTATATATCAATATATGTCTTTTTGAGGCTCTGGAGATACATTGCCTAACTCTCCAGAAAACATCGAGTCAGTTGATTCTCCAGCACTACAGAAGAATATCCATTTATCTGTTGTTCAAGATTTTTTTCAAAGAAATTATAACTATGATGGATATACAGCCATAAAATTAATGTGTCAAAGATTGTATTTAACTCAGTTAATGAGGGCATTAGTGAGGGCAACCAGTTCAACCGAATTTGAACTGACATAGATCAGGAATGCTGACATTAATTTACAAATAGGTATAAAACTGGCTTTTCATTCAGAGGGAATTGTTAGGGGGGGACATAATTTGCATGTCTATGGACAATTAATTTGCATTTCTATCATTATCTATCATCTACAGGGCAGTAAAATAGACCAAAGACAATGGAAAGTCAGAACCCATTACCAGGAAGGGGTCAGTCAGCTAGACAGCGCTGGTCCCTGAATACACTCAGTAATCTTTTGGTTCATTCAAAGTCGTTCTCAGTTTTTCCCCACACTGTGGGCACACCGCACTGGATACTTTTTTTCTACAAATACCTGATGTATGAAGCAGTTGGAAGGATAGAAAAGGGCTGAGTTTGAAATTTCAGACATTGATATCAAACTCCAAAGTAAAACTGAATTCTAAAGTCTGACCTAGGAAAAAGTAGAACTGGTAAATAACTGACATAAAATAAAACTGTTGATGGCTGAGACGGCACATGGTAAACTGTTACTGACTGGAAATCGACAAAAGAACCAAATCTTCGTCACAACGTTAAGATAGAAAAATGTAATTTGAAAACTGACTTCAATAGAGATAAAGACCACAAAATAAAATTCACATTAACAAAAGTCATAATCAGGTATGTTTGGTACAAAAAAAAATTGCAATGATTCAACTATTTTCTAAGTAAAATGTACTAGTAAAAATAACCTCAGTAAAAGAATTTAAAATATTTTTGTTCTTTTTTTCAAATTACTATTTTTCTCTTCACATGCCAGAGCAGCAGCTCTGGAACTTTTTAACACTTGACCAAGTGTGAAAACTCTCAAATTCTTTCTTTTCCCTGGCTCTAACTCAAACAGAAGAGATTCTTACCTAATACGATTTTTTTTCTGCCATCCTGAGGGAACAGGAATAATAATGTATACTTACAGAAGCCTTTAGACCTTGCAGAGTTTCCATAGACATTATCTCGCAGGACCTTTTTAGCATCGTGTCATGGGGTAGGAAATAACAGTTTCTGCCCTGTCCTACACGTGCAGAGATTGAGTCTCAGAGAAGTAAGGGCACCCAAGGTCATGACTCTGAATGGTGGCACTCGGACTTGTGTGGGGTTCCCACATCCTGTATTCCTTTTTCATGTAGCCAGCGACATACACTGGCCACATTCTCTATGCTCTTGGCCTTTTTGGGAGCCTTACAGGACCCTGCTTCAGCCCCTCTCGGCTTCTACAGGAGAAGGCGAGGACGCAGCCCTATGGGCAAAGAGGGTTTCTTCTGCCCTTGCCACCATTCCCCAATTTCAGAACAGAGTATTGTCTGTTCCACACGATTCAACTTCAGCTTCCTAGTGCTCTTTACAGCTTTTTCTCTGGACAGAGCAGATTACCCATCCCGGGGATTGTAACAAGGTTCAGGAATTGGTTTCTGACAAGCCAGTTAGTTATTGAAACACAAATCATGGCTGGCTCTTGAGGTGAGCCCCTTCCCTGCATGCAAGACGCCCTCTTTTTCCTTCCGGCCTCCAGGGGTACTTTCTGACAGTGAGGTACCTCTCCTTTTGTGGTTGGAAACCAGAGCTGGTAGAAGTGTCCTCTGCTCATAGATAGGTTGTTTTTCTTAATGCATGTATTCTTTCTGAATTAAATATTATTTTTGCTAATAAAAGCAATTCTTTTTTTAAGATTTTATTTATTTTTAGAGAGAGTGGGAGAGAAACATTGTTCAGTTGCCTTTCGCATGTCCCCAACCTGGGACATGACCCACATCCCAGGCATGTCCTCTGACCGTGAATTGAATCGATGACCTTTTGGTTCTCAGACCAGAGCTCAATCCACTGAGCCACACCAGCCAGGGCAAAAAGCAATTCATATGAAGGAAAAAATAATGTGTGAATATCTATATATGTGATGTAATTTTCAGCTGATATGTTAAATGACTTTCCCACAACTGCTTTTATAGAACCACAGGATTTAGATTTAGATTTAAAAGGAACCTAGAGGCCTCCAAGACCTTTCTAGCTGGTCTGAAGGTTTCTCTCACATGGACCTTGACTGGGGCTGCCCAGGCAATGCCTGCATCCTCCAGGGATCTGGAGGCCGGTTTGCGTCAAGACCGTCCATTACAGGGCAGAAAACACTTGTCCCATTTTTTCTTCCCCAAATGACAGAAACTATACCCCCTTTATATTTTACTTTTCAGATCGGACTGTCCCTAGTTTCTCTGATTATTCCTTGACTGAGTTTTCAGAGCCTCTTGTGATGCTGCCAGTCACACTCCCCTGGGGAATTTGTCCACGTAAAACACCGCCTCCAGCCCTGGCCGGCTGGCTCACTTGGAGCTGGTTGGAGCATCGTTCCATACACCAAAAGGTCGCAGGTTCAATTCCTGGTCAAGGTATGTACCTATATTACGGGTTTGATTCCTGTTTGGGGCACATACAAAAATCAACCAATGAGTGCATAAATATGTGGAACAACAAATTGATCTTTCTCTCTTTTTCCCCTCCCTCCCTCTCTCTTGGGCAGCTGGGCTGAGATGAAGGAGGCTGCGGGTGGAATATGTTTGGGGAGGGGGGCAATTAGGCACTTAGTTCTAAACATGTTGACTTGCATATGTCGTAAGAGATCGTTCAAGCGGAGATGCCAAGTGAACCGCTCGCTATACAGGATCAGAGGTCAGAAGGGCAGTCTAGGCTAGAGACATAAAACTGAGAGCTGGCATGTGGATGATGTCTAAAGCACAAGCCCGGATGAGACCACCATGATGGCGACTTCCCTGTGAACTCCTCTGGATCTGTGATTGGATGGACCCTGGGTGTTCTTGGATCTACGCTTTCCATTTTCACCCTCTTCATCCCTCTATGCTACAGTCCCCAGCAATTTCTTCAGACCCAACAACTGGGTCATGAATTCTGTTTCTAGTCCATCATTTTACCTTTCAGAACTATATTTTCTTCATTCCTAGAAATTCTGCTTTTTTATAAAAATCTGCAATACATATTGATACCCTTTATCATACTTTTATTCCTTTTTTCTTTAAAATACATATACATATTATATAGTCTTTATTCAGTAACTTATCTGAAGTTCTTGTAAGTCTGATCCTACTTACATTGTGCCTCCAGAAGTTGTTTCTGCACACGTGTGCCCATGCACACACGTGCCTGCGTGTGTGTGTGTGTGTGTGTGTGTAATCTTCAGAGCTCATGTTTACTAGGGCTTTGTGGGAATGCTGTGTTGCTGGGTAAAAGGCATGTACAGATTTATTTATTTTTTTTTTTATTTTTTACTAGGTGTCTCAGCTTTGGGCTAATTTTTCTGCTGATTCCTCAGCCTGGTAGTTCCTGGACCACACCGTGTAAATTTGAATCACAAACCTGTGCATGGTTACAAATTCTCACAGGATCTGTGCTCCCTCACCCCTGGGGAAAGTCTCCTTGTTACTTGTCCATGCCAGCGGGGAAACGTTCTAATTCATCTCTTTATCAAGGATGGAGGCTTCAGGGTGCCAGCTCTCTGCAGGCGGGGGATCCCATTTCCAACTTCCTCTGGGGTGTGGGTCAGAGTCTTAAGATTTCTCGTACTTATGTGCACTTTAAGGCTTAAGAGCAACGCTCCACTCACTCACCTTCCCACCCCCAGCTGCCACAGCAGGTTCATATGCAGGCCACGCCAGTTCTCAGCTCTCCAGCTGCTGTCAGTTCCCTTTCTTCCCTGCAAAGTTCGCTTTGCATTTAAAAGAGTGTTATGCTTTAACCAGCATCTCGAACAGCTGGCTTATTTGAGTGGACACATGCCCCCTAGCTCCCCGGAATGTTGGAAGTATCTGCTCCTGTGAAGAGTTTGTGTACAGCATGATCTCCCAAGCACCATTCTGGCTTATTCCCCTGGCAGCGCCCACACAGGTGATTACTTGTTTCAGTTTGTGCCAGAACTGACCAAAGAGGCCTGTGTGGTGACAAGTGAGCTAGAGTCAAATGTGACCAACAGCCACTGCCAGCAGGCCTTGGGACTGGCTGTCCAGGAATTCTGTGGAGGGATGTCCAGCATGCCAGGTGTCGTTCCATCCAGGGTCGGGGAACGAAGGGAAGAGGTATTAGTAAAACCACAGATGGCTGCTTCCTGTGGCCCCCAACAAGATGACGAATCCTGCCCTGACTGATGTAGCTCAGTGGATTGAGCACGGGCCTGCGAACCAAAGGATCGTGGTTCGATTCCCAGTCAGGGTACATGCCTGGGTTGTGGGCCAGTTCCCAGTGCGGGGTGCACGAGAGGCAACCACACATTGATATTTCTCTCCCTCTCTCCTTCCCTTCCCCTCTAAAGATAAATAAATAAAAAATAAAAAGATGACAAATCCTGTTTGCTGCGTCCTGTTTCCTGATATGCTCCCAAAGACCTGGGAACCCCAAACAAGGCCCGGGAAGGGCCTGGGCAGTCAGGAAGGGCAAGAATCAGAACTCTCTGCCCAAGGCCTCAAATAGCTGGGAGGGTGAGCAGACCTGCCTCTTTGGCTACAATCAAAAGAAATATGTAAGAACTGACCAATAGGGCTGTGTGCACACCTTAGTGTTGGTCAGTGACCTGTGTATCACCTAGGGGAAGCCTTGGGATAGAAGGAGTCTCTAAAAGTTGTTTCAAGACCATTATGTATCAGTCAGCTAAAGAGAAAGAGGCCAGTACATCTGAAACTAACACAAAATAATATTGCCCTGACCAGTGCAGCTCGGTTGGGCATCATCCCACAGAATGAGGGGTTGCAGGTTCGATTCCCTGTCAGAGCACATGCCTGGGTTGCAGGTTCAGTCCCTGGTCAGGGTGCATATGAGAGGTAACCAATCAGTGTTTGTCTCCCTCTCTTTCTCCCTCCCTTCCCCTCTAAAAATAAATGAATAAAATCTTTTTAAAAATAATATTGACTGTAAAATGTAATTGACAGATAAAAAATGTTTTAAAAGAGAGAGAAAAGAGCTGGACAGGAGCGAGGGGAGAGACCTCAAGGAAAGCCTCTCTGCTTCCTCTTTACAACGAAACTCCCATCCACCTGCTCGTTGCTGGCCTGAAGAACAGAATCCCGGGGTCTTTGACTGGGCAGATGCCACACAGTTCAAACTTTCATCTGGTACAGGTGCCGCATGCTCCTCGCCAGGCAGCCTCCCGGTGTGGGGCTCTGGCTGCTAACTTCATGGTAAGACTACGCTCATTTTAAGGCTCCTCTTGTTTTGAGATAAAAATCTGCCTTTAGCCATTTTTCCTAGACCCAGTCCTATCTGACTGATGGGGAAGGAGGGTCCCCCGCCTTCACTGGCTCAGGAATACACCGAGGATGCTCTGAAAACCTAGTATGAGACCGGGAGCGGTGAGAACCAGGGCTCCCGAGACCCCACTGGCCCCCAGGAGGTCCATGCAGGGAAGGAGAGAGGCTGACCAGTGGGACAAAGGCTTGCTGGGAGGAGCCTGGCTGAGCTACGTTTGCACTTTCTCACTGAAGATCCCGTTTTGACCTCACCTGTGCGTAGGAAAGACATCCTCCCAGACAGAGAATAAAATAAGGACTTGGACAAGCACTTCAAGTCCAGACTACAAAGTTCTTTTATCTTGTCCCTGCATACAAGACAGTGAATTCAAACCCCAAGTGTTCTGTGAAGACAGACAACGGTGCCCTAGGAAGGATGTTCCTCCTCCCGGCAGGCAGGCAGGCCGCTGTGTCCTCTCCGAGCTGGGCCCCAGCCTCGGAGCACACCGGCTGGAACTCGGGGCGGGTGGTTCGGCAGCCCCACCAGAGCGGGCGGGAGTTGCTAGGGTTCTTGTCCTTCAAGGCGCTGGCGGTGAGTCCCTATTTCCTGTGTGCCTGCTGGAGGCCCATCATGGTTTTCAAGTAGTTGTGCTGGACACAGAGAAGGGGAGAGAACAGAGGTTGAGGAGGAGGCGCAGACCCGACAAGGGCTCAGGGGCCATGCCACTTAACACCTGCCCCTTCGTTTGTCCTGCAAATACCGGTCTGGGGGCAAGGATTCCCTCTGACTTAGCCCCAGTTCTGTGAGAAATAAAGTTCTAGTCTTAATCTTAAAGAAGGTATGTAAAACTTTTTAAATGGTATGTCAGGCATGTTTCAAAGGAGACATGCATGTTTCAAGGGCCCACTTGAAAGTTTCCGGCAAGAATTAAGTTCAGGAAGAAAAGAGGTGGGGGTCCATGTACTCGGAAGGGCCCTTCCCCTGCAGAGCAGCTAGATGTTCACGAATCCTGCCCTCTCAACGCACTGCCAGGCTCCCAGAGAGTGGGGGGGGAACGTGAGCTGAAACAGGGACAGTGGGCCGCGAGCAGGCAAACACTAAAACCAATCTGGAATATGTAGATGCATCCTAGACTCCCCACAAGGTTGGGGAACTGAAGCCGAAGCTCTCACATTGACTGGACTTCTCTCCCCGCCACACACAATTTTTTATTGTACTAAAACACACCATCTTCACAATCTTCCAGGATACAGTTGAGTGGTGTGAAGCGCGTTCACAGTGTTGTGCAACCGTCTCCACCGTCCATCCCCATAACTCTTTCATCTTGGAAACGTAAAACTGTCCCATTAAATGATGTGATGGTACAGTAGCCCCCCCCTTAACTGCAGGTGATACATTTTAAGACCCCCAGTAGATACCCGAAATTGAAGATTTTACACACACACACACACACACACTTTACGACTTTTCTTTGGCATATCCGTATTGCTAACATCGCAACTCTTATTCTTTGGGGCCATTATTAAGTAAAATAAGGGTGACGTGCACACGAGCACGGCAATACCATTGACAGCTGATGTGATCCTGGGATGGCTACTAAGTGACTAATGGGTGGGTAGCCTCTGCAGTGTGGATACACCGGACAAAGGGATGATTCACATGGGCGGCCTTGGCACTCATCAGCCATGTCTGGGCCTGGCACGGTCTGTGGGACCCCTAATGGGCTCAGCCCAGCCCCTGGACTCTGGGGCTGGTGGAAGGTATCCACTGACTCCAGGTGACTGGATCTCCCTGAGTGACATTCCTCCTCTACCTCTCTAAAGTGAGGAATGTGGTCCTGGGCGTCCTGGTAATGAGGTCCCTGGGGCCCTCCTTCCTGGAGATGTGAACTTCCCGAGTTACCTTTTGTTCTGTCTTGACTTTGGCATTGTAGAAGGAGATGGATTCGGGGCCATCAGGCAGCATCACCTGCTGCAGCTGGCTGAACTTGTCCTGGTCATCTTCTCCCTAGGAGAGGCCCGACTCAGGATAGTCCCTTACACCTGGCACCGTTGAGGATTCAGCCTGACGAGGCCTGCGGTGGGCATCAGGGCGGCCCCTCGCTGGGTTTGCAAATCCCCACCCATGGCAGCTCACAGTCTCTCAGGCCCATGTTTGCCAGCGTCATCACTGGCACCTGGACAGGATGAGCCACCCAGAAGGGTGGCCACCATAACTGGTGTTATCTGTGACCCCACCCTTGATAACTAGGTAGAGACCTGTAGCTTCCCACCTGCCTGGACAGCCATGGGAGAGGCTAGGAGTGGCCCACGCACTGCCACGTTTGTGGGGAGCACAGAGGACGAGGGGCACTGCCCACTGCTCACCTGTCATCTCACCCCGACCCTGTGGCGCTCACCAGAGACACAATCCTGCTGACAGGCACCATGCCCGGCCGGATGCTGCTGCCCGGCTTCAGTGCCACCTGCACGTCCTCGGGGATGAAGAAGGACTCGTTGTACCAGATATCAAATTCTGCAAGGAGGAGGGGAGACAGCTCTGTGAGGTGTGGGGGAGTGCCTGAGGAAGCAGGTAAAGGCTCTGTGTGCTTGTCCCAGGGTCACCCTCTGTCACTTTCTGCTCTAGGGTCTCACCCTTTCCCATCTCTGTCTCCTGCCCGAGAGGTCCTGGAAACAAACATCTGAATCTCCTGCCCGGCCCCTGCCCCTTCCCCTGCCAGAGAGAAGCTTTGAAGCTGCTTCTGGACCCCACGAGGGGGCCCTGCCCTGTGCACCCCGGAACCTCCGACGGTCAGCCAGCCTTCCCAAATGGTGCACCTGTGAGCAGGCGGTGGCGACACTGATCCACAAGGTGCTCGCAGTACTGGATCTCAGCCCTGAGGTCACGCAGGTCCTGATACTCGGAACGGTACTGCTTCTTGAGGTCTTTGAGCTTCAGGATCAGCAGGAATTCCTCCTCGTCGATGATAATCAGCCCCTTGTTTTCATACTCACCTGTAGGAGGAGGATGGAGATCAGGGAATGAAGTGCCCACCTGCGCTGAGGGGAGGAAGGCGGTCCAGAAAGAGAGGAGCGTGCTGGCAACGCACAACACAGGACACGAGAGGAAAGGCTAGGGCACCGCATGGGGCGGGCAAAGCTGAGGGAGGCCAGGCTACCAGGACGTGCCTCACGGGGGGAGGGAGCTCAGGTCAGAGGGCCACACTGCCATTTCTAGGACCAAGAGGAGGGGTGGGCAGGGGCAAGGACAGAGATGGGCCATGCTTCACACGTATTTTCATCTTAAACCCCATCAGTCAAATATACTCAGTAGGTTCTTCTATTATACGGATGTTTACCTTTTTTTGTAAATTATATACATGAACTGCCATCACTGGCTAGTTCCACAAGGCACGCGGGCAAGGTTCATTATTATTATTATTATTTCATTCTTATTTTTAAGATTTTTATTTTTAGAGCATAAAGGAGGGAGAAATAGAGGGACAGAAACATCAATGTGTGGTTGCCTCTCATGCGCCCCACAACCCACGCGTATGGTCTGACAGGGAATTGAACCGGCGGCCCTTTGGTTCGCTGGTCGGCACTCAACCCACTGAGTCACACCAGCCAGGGCAGGTTCCTTATTATTAACAGTACATGTAAACCCACATTTCAGATAGTCTTTTTTTTTTAAATTTATTGATATGAGAGAGAGACAGAAACATCAGTTTTGTTGTTCCACTTATTTATGCATTCCTTGGTTGATTCTTGTATGTGCCTTGACTGGGATCAAACCTGCCACCTTAGTGTGTGGAGATGATGCTGTAGCCAACTAGGCTACCTAGCCAAGGCCAGACTGTCTTCTTGATGATTGGAATGTCCATCAGCTACCTTCCTGTTAGAGACAATCAAATGTCCGAGTCACACTGAGTAGCTGTCAGAGGCTCCAGGAGGACAGGAGTCGATTGCGCTATTCGTCATATGCTGCACTTGTGGCCTCTTTGCATGGACCTTTTTTAAGGTCACTTCAGTGAGGACTGTTGGGTTAAGACAAAATAACGTGGTCTGTGCAGCCACTCACCCAGCTATCCGCTGCCCACAGCACCTTGAAAGCTCAGCAAGCGTGTCATGTCAACCACCCGGGGTGCAGGACTTCCACCCCAGGACCCCTGGAAAGCGAGTCTGGCATGTGTGGCTGGGGTGCATGCGGCAGTCCCCAGATGTCGGAGGAAAATACTAGCACTTCGAATGAAGTTTGCAAAGGAGAAGTAGGACGTGTTAAGTGTCGCTGACACTATTAATGGAGAGGCAAAGGTCCCCATTCAGGGTACCTGGCGTGGGGCAGCAGTCCAGAGTCACCTCACCAGGTCCCTTGCTTTCAGGGCAGAGCGGCTGTGCGCTGTGGGATGTCCCGATCAGGTCACTTTGACAGACACAAATCCTTTACAGAGTCTTTACAGGACTCTGTGAGGTGGGGATGTCTCTGACCACTATTACCACCCAGGGTTCTCTGGGTATCATCAAGGAAAAAACTTCAAAGACTTGAACTTAAGATGATTTTTCATTTTTCTTTCACAAAAGACTCATTATAAATGTTCTAAATTCCTGACCTTTCTGGGCTGATAAGTAGCTGCCAATCAAGGTGCCCAGCAGGGAGTTTTTAAAATGAATTTACTTGATCTGTTCTTTCAAGATAAAGGTTATTTTATTTGATAGTTCAACAACCAATGGGAGCCCTGGCTGGTGTGGCTCAGTGGATTGAGCGCCAGCCTGCATATTAAAAGGTGGCCAGTTTGATCCCCAGTCAGGGCACAGGCCTGGGTTGTGGGCTGGGTCCCCAGTTAGGGGCGTGCAAGAGGCAACAAATTGATGCTTCTCTTGCACAATGATGTTTCTCTCCCTCTTTTTCTCCCTCCTTTCCCCTCTCTCTAAAAATAAATAAAATTAAATTAAAAAAAAAAAAGAAAAAAGCCCTGGCTGGCGTAGCTCAGTGGATTGAGCGTGGGCTGCGAACCAAAGTGTCGCAGGTTCGATTCCCATCCAGGGTACATGCCTGGGTTGCAGGCCGTAACCCCCAGCAACCGCACACTGATGTTTCTCTCTCTCTATCTCCCTTCCTTCCCTCTCTAAAAAATAAATAAAATCTTAAAAAAAAAAAAAGAAATCCTATCTCAAAAAAAAAAAAGAAAGAAAGAAAAAAGAAAAAAAAACAACCATTGGGAAAATAACAAAATAACTACTTTGGAGGGAAAAGAGCAAAAATGTTTTTTGATGCTGACAGATAAAATTTCAAGTATTTTAAAATATTTCTTCTTCAGCCCTGGCTGCTATGGCTCAGTGGATTGAACACCACACTGCCAACCAAAGGGTCCCTGGTTCTATACCTTGGTCAGGGCACATGCCTGGGTTGCGGGGCCACGTCCCCAGTGGGGTGGTGTTCACAAGGCAACCACACATTGATGGTGATTGCCTCTATTTCTCCCTCCCTTCCCCTCTCTAAAAATAAATAAATAAGACCTTTTAAAAATAAATAAAATATTATTTCTTCTTCATCTCATCCTTTAAAAATACCCATTTTCAGCCCTGGCCAGGTCGCTCAGTTGGTTAAAGCATCGTCCCAATAATAAGTAAAAAATTTTAAATATCCATTTTCAGGTATGTTTAGGGATGAAAGCTATGTCAGCATACCATTCATATACATTGTTTAAAACAAGTAAACACGTAATAAGGGTGGCATATTCAAAGAAGATGTGTGCAGAGGGACAAAGAAGTGTTTGCTGGTTCTGTAAGAACTTCACCCTGAATGTTCTGGGTGGGGGCATGTCTGGTGCCACCATCACCCACCTTCCCCTGTTTCCCAGACCCACGAAGGTCTGTGCCCTCTGCAATGGTATATCACGGTTGGTCAGTAGGGTATGAGCACAGTAGCACCAAGAACTTGGAAATAAAGTTGCTGAGAAGTAAATGAATCAAATGTAACCTCCTGTGAGTCAGATGATCCACCTGACATGACAAATAAACCAAGTGACATCTGGAGACGTCCCAGGTCATCAGTGAGATCGTTCATAAAGACCAGTCTGGAATGCCACTGCGATTTGGCAGGAGAGAGCCCAGTGACCTGTGGCGTGCCCTGTCTGGAAAAAGACCAGCGGAACAAGCCAGGGATGTGAATAAGAGTGGGGCCTCTAGACCGCCAGCCTCAGAGTTGGAATGGGCCCTCATTAAAATGCAGGTTCTGGGCCCTGCTCCAGATCTACTGAGTCAGAACCACTGGTGGAGGCCTGGGAATCTGCACTTGACCAGCCCTTCCAGGTGAGTCCTCTGCACACTCAAGCTTGAGGGTCCTTGGCCCACAGTACAGGCATGGGCGGTGTCTGCCACTGGGACAAGAGCACCAGGTCAGGGTCACCAGGTGAGCGCCCTCCCCATGTGTGGGTCCTGGCTCTCTCAGCCTGATGGCTCCCACACCACCTGCCTTAGGAGATGAGTCTTTGCCAAGCCAGCATGGGTGCTGGGGGTCTGGCATGAGGAGTGGTACTAGTGACAGTGAGTCCCTTGGCCCTCTGGCATGTACATTCTCATTGCTCTCCTGGATTCTCATGTCTTGACCAGCATTCCCACCCCAGCCAGACCACTGTGAGCAGTGAAGAGACCACACCAGGACCCAGGGACCTTGTGGGGGTCCCCAGCCAACCCTCTCCCTGGAGAAGTCCCTATAAGACCAAAAGCATGTTTCTCCATAGGGAGGCAGCAGCAACCCTGTAGACGGAAGGCTAGCCCCTGGATCTGAGATAAAGCAATAATGGGGGACCCACAGGAAGAGGCGGGCTGGCAGGGAAGGACCCTGTGGCTCCCCAGGGCTGACTACAGCCCAGTGATGGCCCAGGGATGAAGGCTACATCCTAACACCCCAGGTGGGCCCTCCCATCCCCGTCCTCCAGTGCCCAGGTGGCCGTATTCTAAGCAGGATGCCTTCGATCCCCCAGGCCCCAGCCGCCCCGTCCCATCACATTTACCTTGCTTTTCCCGCAGTGACTTCTGGAAATCTAACGCCGCCTTGGTCACGTCAATCTCCTGCTTGATGGCATTGATGCGCTGTGTGATCTCGCTGGCCCTTTTCCTCCGCTCGTTCAGGATGGACTTGTTTTCTTTGAAGATGCGGTTGATCTCACTCCCTCGCTCGTTCTTAAAATCCTCAAAGGCCACAGGCTTGGAGGGTGGGGTGCTAGGCCTGAAGAGGGAGTGGGGTTGCGGGGCAAGGTGGGGAGACAGCTATCTTAGAGCCACAGGGCACTTCACCTTTCTGCCCTGGGGCTTTGGGAGCGGGAGGCCAGCATTCCTGGGCACCACCCCCCGCCGCCACCAGACAGGAGCTGGACTGCAGGAATCACTCCCCCGTCTCTGTGTTACTCAGCACACAAGGGCACATGAGCCCTGAGGAAAGTGAGGACAGCAAGGGAATCAGTGTGTGACACACAGAAGGCAAAACGACCACTCACTACCTATTGACAGCCACACTTCAGTGTATCTCCTCCAGGGATTTCTCTGATAGGTTTTTAAATGTTTGGGATCATGTGGTATATAAAACTTTACATCTTTCTCCTCAGAAGCACTCTTTCATGCTATGACAATCCCTTTGAGCACTCCAGTTCATGAGATGTAAGACGGGGCGCTGGGGCCGGGGAAGGGCCTTGTCTGCACCCTACTGTGAAGCGCACGGATGGAGGAAAGGAGAGAAAGACGGACACATGATGAAAGAAGTATGGTAACACGTTGGCTGCAAAATCAAGGGGCTGTTCGCTGTACAGTTCTTTCAGATTCTCTGAATGTTTGGCAGTGTGCTCACAGGCTAGAGGAAAAAAATTCTTCATGTTCATCCATGTATATTTTAAGGGAGGAGATAATAATTCACTCAGAGCCCTTTCTCTAATGTTGGCTATTAAGGTGTTTTTACAAAATGGCTTGTTTGCCTTTTAAATTAATGATGCAATGAACTTTTTTTTGCATAAATCTTTTTCCACATCTCTCTTAATTATTTCCTCAGGATAGATTCCTAAACACGTAATTACTCACTCACTAGAGTAATTGTAGCTGGAAGAAAAGGGTCTAATATCTTGAAAAAATTTTAAGTACATTACTTATTCCAAAAGTATGTAAATTCAATTATTAAAATAATGGCTGTCTGGAGGGTCTAAATGATTCCATGTGTAATTGCGTGCCCTCCCCTGACCGGTGTGGCTCAGCTGGTTGGGAGTCAACCTGCAAGGAAAAGGTGGCCAGTCCAGTCCTCAGTCCGGGTGCGTGCAAGAGGCCACAAGCAGATCGACGCTTCTCATGTCGATGTTTCTCTCCTCTTTCTCCCTCCCTTCACCCCTCCCTAAAACTAATTAATCAATTAATAATTGTATATCCTGGATGACTCCTGATGTGGGACCATCTTGCATGTGTACAGCCACCATGTTTCTTGCTTTTGAACCATGCTCCTAGTCTTTGCCTGTTTTATCTGCAGGTGCTCTTTACGTGTTGTGGATCACGCTCTGGTTTTGGATGACCTGGTGCAGGAGCTAGTGTCAGACGGTCACCTGGGTGGGCGCTGTTCCTCCTTGGGCGACTCGGAGGGAAGGGTCTCGAAGTTGGAGGTCTCCCGGTCCCGCGAAAGCATGTCTTTCACATCTCCATCTTTGGAGGATGCGGTCAGCTGGGTCTTGGAGGTGGAAATGTCCACGTCCTTGCCGCTCACAGGGCTGCCGGCCCCATCCTTCCTTGCCGCGGAGCTGGAAGGGGAAGGCAGGGAGACCCCAGGGCTCCGTCAGGCGCAGGGAGGTGTCTCCCACGCTCACGGAGTGACCTTTCTCAGCACTTACACACCAGAAGTGCCATCCTGCTCAGCCCCTGTCTTGGCCACATGCCTAGGCCAGAGGGCAAAGAGTATGACCTTGAGCCACCACGCAGCTGAAGAGAAAGAGGAGAGCCTTCTCCTTTTTATGAGGATAAGGAACTGTCCCTTCAGCAGTCTCAGCAGGAGACAGCTGGGAAGAGTAGGACATCCATCCCCAGGTGTGAAAGCACAGGAACCTGGAGGGTGGCTGCAGGCTGCTCACAGGACCAGCTGGCTGCTGAGGTACTAGTCACACAGGAATCTCTGGGAAAGAGCTGCAGAGCCGCCATCCAGGCTGGGTCTGCCTGTGGACCAGTGGGAAAGCAGGACAGGTCTGCTCTGACTGTCCAGGACCTGCACTCCCTCCCAGCCTACATCAGTGACCACCCCAGCCCCCAGGAAAGTGGCCACCTGCCCTCTCCAAGTGATGACACACGGGTCCTCCCCGCAGAGAGGCACATCTGAGCAGGCCTGAGCTGACAGGAGGATGGATGCCCGCAGTTCTTTCTGCTGTTTCCTCCTCTTTTCATTTTCTTGTAACAGATGTGCTTTGGTGGGGGAGGGAGCAAGCATCGATCCCCCTATTATTGCACCGATTACCTGGCGGCCGAACAGAGAGTGCTAGGGTGTAACTGCCCTTCCTGGAGAGCAGGAGGCAGCCAGGGGCGTCAGCAATCCCTGCTACCCAACTCTGCACCCGGCTGTACAGTAACGACAGACTCCCATTTCCTTTCCTGGTACAGGGACTGCATTTGCTCACTCACCCTCACAACAACCCCAGGGACTCTGATGCTATTATTATTCCCACTTTATGTTTTAAATTTTAACTTACTGATTTCAGAGAGAGAGAGAGAGAGGAAGGAAGGGAGAGAGAGAGAGAAACATCAATTTGTCATTCTATTTATTTATGCATTTACTGGTTGATTCTTGAGTGTGCCCTAACTGGGGATCGAACCCGAAATCTTGGGGTATCAGGACAATGCTCTGACCAACTGACCTACCCCACCAGGCTTATTATTCCCATTTTAGAGATGAGAAATCAAGGCACAGAGAGGCTCTCATGCCTTAAACAAGGTGACCCCATGGGTGAAGAACGTAGAGTAAGGAGGTGAACACAGGCATCGCCTCCAGAACCCGTGCTCCAGAACCTGTCCACCACTGTACACGTGATGCACAACGTGGCTTAATAAGAGTGGCTCATTGAGTGAACCCTGACCCTCTTCCCACCTTGCACACACAAAGGGTCTCGCCTGAAAGGTCAGCTGGAGCTTTAGGGTGGTGTGAGTGCCCCAGAAGGACCCTGTTGGGAGGTGGGGTTTCCACGTGAGATACTGGAGAACAAATGCTGGCGCGGCTTCTCACTTCAGCTTGACTACCAGCAGCAGTGTGACCTTGAAAGTGATTTCCCCTTTCTGAGCCTCGATTTCCTCATCAGTAAAATGAACTCCCAACTCATGGGGTTGCTGTGCAGATGAGAAGTGGCCAGACCCGCCTGGGCCCCGCAGACGTTACTGGTATTGGCAGCAGTGACATGCACTGTGACCATATAGTTGCTAAGACATCAGGGGGGAAAAGGACGATAGTTTGTCCTCCCTTTCACCAGCCAAGGAGGGCCAGGTACCGACCAAGCAGAGCAGCAGGAAGGTCACTTACCCGAGCTGCTCTTTCAATGTCTTCTTGGACTTGGCTTTCTTCCCGGATTTGGCAGAAAAAGGGGCAACCCCAACTCCGAAGCCTTGTCCGTCAGGCTCGCCAACCAGGTGACCATCAGCATCTATAAGCCCTGCCTGGATAGAGGCCAGCCACAGGGCCCAGGGTTAGATGAAGAGCAGGGGCCCCTCGGGCACCCAAGTGTGTATGGGCCCAAGGCTGAGATGGGCATGTTTAGCCCACGCCAAGATGTGGTGGCTGCTGCTGCTGTTAGCTTCAGGCTGTCCCCAGAAATCTGTCTCTGACCACCCCATCAAAGGTCCACTTTCCACATTAACTCCTCTCACTGATCTGGTGTTTGACTCCACACCCTGAGGATCCTAAGGGCTGTTCCCACCCAACTTCAGGAATTGGTCCTGCTTGTTACTAGCCTTGTCTCCAGTTCTGGAGATCATTTTGAACCATACGTGGTTTACTCTTGCACAGGTCACCCCACACTCATCCTGGTGTCACCTTTACCTGTTCCCAGACTGGCTTTAGTGCAGGACACTTGCGGCCTCTGGAAAGGACTGGGGATAGGAAAACCTGACACGAATGCTGTCAGCAAAAGGCAACTGTGCTTACCTTCTGGACAGCAGAAATGGCTGCAAAGTCATTCTTGTCTATGAGTGTGTACTTCCGGCGCAGACTGGACTCTACTTCCTGTTCTTGTTGGCTTGGGGGAGAGAGTGAAAGAAAACTTCACACTGGGGGCCATGCTGAGCCATGTACTCGAGTTAGAAGTCATTTGGGCATGGCCCCTTGCACAGGAGCCAGGCCTCTACTACGAACCAGAACAGGCCAAAGCAGCTCACTCTATGCCCTGAATCCCCACTGCACATAATGCCCATCGTCAAGCCCGTAAATCTGCAGCGCCCACCCGACGTGCCAGGCTCAACTGCTCCAAGACGACTTGAACAGGACTGTAAGCCTGCACTGGGACCCCACTTCCCCACCTGGGCTCTGTCTCGAGCAGCCCTTTGGAACCATGTGATCAGCGTCTGTGATACTACCCAACACCCAACATAAGCCACTCAGGCCACAGGGATATATGTACCCAAAGAAACCACAAGTGCCTCCTGAGGCGGGGCTTGGGGAGCAGAGATTAATCACGATGCCCTGCTCTGGCCACGCTCAGGGGGTCCTGGGCAGTGGATGAACTCAGGAAACATCCACTAGGGGCTGCCTCCTCTCCAAGTAGCCCTTGAGTGGAGGGCTGTCGTCCAGGCTTCCCCCGGGGAAGGGAAGGGTGGGAGGATCTGAGCGCGCAGGGGCAGAGCCTTTCGGGGCACCAGGGGCCTGGGCACATCCCGAAGACTCCCATCTGGCTCCTTACGCCTGAGAGAGACATGTGTGTGCTCGGAGACACGTCCAAACCACAGGAAGTGAAGACAGCAGTCCGACGGAGGGGCTGGGTGGGTCGGGAGGGTCCCTTACCTCAGAACCACCCGGAACTGGTTGAACACCTCCCGGATCTGTCTGAGGTTAATGATCTGCAGAGAAGAGAGCTAGGCAGACGTTAGATCCTGGCACCATGGGGCCCAGGCTGCGTCTCCGTTCTCGGAGAAGCCGGGAGCCCTGGGCTAGGCACTGACCATCTGTCTCAAGAACAGGGCATCTGCAAACAGCCTTTCGACAAGAGTGGCAGCACAAGCCTTCTCAAGAACGGGGAACACCTGATTAGTAGTTTTCAACCTAAGTATCCACTAGGGCTACAAAAACCACCTTTTCTAAGTGGAGATCTCTGTAAAGTCAAAACGACTCTAGTTCTTGAAAATACCAAGGAAAATTTAAATAAAATTTGTTGTCCCCAGCTCTTGCTGACTTTCACGAGGTTCCCTTACAAACCTTTCTATGTGGGTACAGACACACACAGGCTTGTGGCTGGAGGAAGGCCATCCGTCTCCCTCTTGGCCCCACAACCCACGAGCATTACCCTTGACCCAGGGTCAGTCTGGGGCAGCTCTTACAGGGCAGGCAAGAAGAGCCCACCCCTCGGTTGTCCCAGCTGCCCACGGTAACAGGATGGGGGGTCTGCCCGTGCAGCTCCCCGATGAAGAGTTTGCTGGCCTGCACTGTAAAACCACGATGTATCTTCCCCTCTCAGGGCCCTTTCCTATGTGGCTGTCTCCCTCCTTGGCCCACTCCAACGTGGGTCTTACGGGTCTGTCTTATAGACAACCAGCATGATCATCATCCTTTAGTGGCCTTATTCCACCTGCTACAGCCAGCACCGGAGGTGCTACAGCTCGCTTCATCCCAGCTCGGTTCCATTCCCCACTCTATAGGTGGGGCTCCCAAAATACACAGGGTGGGCATTTCACTGAGGTCACTCAGCAAGGAGACAGCTTAGCTGGTATTCGATCCAGGGCAGCCCGGCGCCAGGACCCGCTTGTGTCCCGGGGTGGACTGCCTCCTGTGTGTACAGCTGTTCAGGCTGCTAGCCATTCCGTGGGGTACCCACAGCCTCGTAACCCTATACATGGACGCTGAGACCTTGGTGGGCTGAAGGGGCTCTGAGGCCAGGGGTCCACCACCACCCACCCTACACCCATTGCACCCACTCAGTGTCAGGTTCCATGGCCAGCACAGCACATGTTGGGGTGTGCCCAGGTCTGAGATGCCCTGGTTGGTTGGACATGGGGGTCCCGAGGAGGGGCTCCTTACGTCAATCTCGTCCAGCGTCCCCTCCAGGTACCTCCGCACCTGGGAGTTGATCTCGGCAATCTGAATTTCATCCAGGGCATCGTAGTTCACCAGGGAGCGGTTGGCCTTGGAGGAGGATGACATACATGTCCATGAACTTGAAGCACCTAAGCCCACGCAGGGGCAGCGGGGGACATTCTGAGAACTGTGGTGGGGAGGATGGGCACAGGCCCTGGCCACCGAGCCTGCTCCACCCCCTTCACCACCAGGTCCTGGTGGAGAGAGCCTGACTCACAGAGGGCCAGGTGTGCCTGCCAGTCAGCAAGGGACAGCGGAGTCGGTGAGGGAAGCAAAGGCTCCCCAGCGTGGGCCTGCTCCTCCAAGCCAAGGGGGTGCTGCTGGCAGATTCTGAGACGAGGGCCGTGGGAGAGCGGTGGCTGCACCTGCCTTGAGGCCCCTCTGGGCCGTGAGCAGCAACCCAGGCAGGCTGCCGGAGGACTCCAACCCCAGCCCCGGCACTCCCGGCTCCTTGCAGCCACCCCGCCACACCCCCAGCCTGCCCCACCTCCCCTGATCCTGACCCATCATGTTGTCGGCCCCGCACCCTAACCCGACAGGCCTCTAGCCCCCTTCCCCTTTTCCTCCTGCCCACTGCCTGCCTCTGTTCCCTGACCACCCAACGCCTCTGTCCACCAGGCAGCACTGGTCCCCTAGCCTCTCCCCCACAGTCTTTGTCCCTCCAGCCTCCCTGCCTATGTGGCCCCCTTACCCATCTGGCCCCCAGTCCACCCAGACCTTCTGCCCATCCAGCCTCCCTGCCCTGACCCTCTTGCCCCCTCCCCACCTAGTACTTCTGCCCCCCGACCTGACTCAGTCCCTCGAATATTGTAGTCACCCCAGCCCCACCTCCAGCCCCTTACCAGGCTGTCATGGATGGCTAACTCCTGCTTGAGCAGTGCCAGCTCCTTCTCCAGGTTCTTGACCATTCGCTGCCAGGGAAGCATAGTTGGTGGGGACGGGGAAGACAGTCAGAGTGGCCACCCTGCGTCTTCCACTTCAAGCCCACGGTTCCCCACCCTCTGCTCGGATTCTCTAGCCCTGCCCGGTGGTCCACGGGCTGTGATCTCAGCATCTGGACGACTCCCTCGCCACTGGCGACCGTTCCCAACTAGGGTGGGTTTAGGGTCTGAAGGCCTCAGCAGCCCCTGGCCTCTGCCTCTCACAGTGGAGGAGACTAAGAACAGTGAGCACAGCCACCCCCGGGGCCACGTCAAAACCCAGCTCCCGGGAGCGCCCGGGATATTCCCAGCGTACGGGGGTGGGTGACGGCCCTCGCAGGGCAGCCCACGCCTCCAGGATGCCTTCCGGGCACGCCCTACCTCTCACCTTCACCCTGCCCGATCACTGCACAAAGGCGTCCCCATTCCCACCGACGATCGTGTCACCTCCAACTTTTGCTGCTACCGACAGTGCCGTGCGAACCTTTTTGTACTCTTATCTCTGGGCCCGGATAGGTGTCGGCAGGGTAACAGCGATCTCTAGGGCTCTGCATGACCAGCCCCCCATCGCAGCGTCCGTGCTGCCCTCCCCACCCCCACTGAATGGGCGCACGGCCGCCTCTGCCCTGCCAGTCTGCTCTGCCTGGGACGCCCTTCTCCCAGGCATCCCCACGGCTCACTTCTTCGCCTCCCTCAAGGTTTGGTTCAAAAGCTTCCAAATTAGGCACACCTCGATTACCCGAACTGCCCCCAAAGCCCACACCACTCTTTTTTAAAACTCTTGCTCTAGTTTTTTCAAGGCACATGCCTACCAGCAACACACTCTAGAGCACGCTGTCTAGTAGAACTTTCTACAATGATGGAAATGTTCTGTATCTGCGCCATGAGCCACTTACAGCGGTTAAATACATGGAATGTGATGAATGTGACTAAGGAAGTAAATTTTAATATTTTTAATAACTTTTTTTTCAGATTTTATTTATTTATTTTTAGAGAGGGAAGGGAGGGAGAGACAGAGAGAGAGAAACATCAATGTGCGGTTGCTGGGGGTTATGGCCTGCAACCCAGGCATGTGCCCTGGCTGGGAATCGAACCTGGACACTTTGGTTCCCAGCCCTCGCTCAATCCACTGAGCTACGCCAGCCAGGGCAAATTTTAATATTTAAAAAATTTTAACTACTTTAAGTAGCCACATGTGTGTACTGGCTACCATATTGTGAAACATTAAAATGTACCCTATTTGGTTTTTAAATGTTTGCGAACTGAAAGGTCGCCGGCTCCATTCCCTGTCAGGGCACACGCCTGGGTTGCAGGCCAGGTCCCGGTTGGGGCCGCGTGAAAGGCAGCTGCTCAATGTTTCTCTCTCTCTCTCTTTCTCCCTCCCTTCCCCTCTCTCTGAAAATAAATAAATAAAATCTTTTTAAAAAAATAAATTGTATGTATTTCAGGTGTGCAACATGTTTTGATATACCACATTTTGCCATGTATAAGGCGCACTTTTTTTGTCCATATTTTTGAGGGAAAAATAAGGATGCACATTATACATGGGTATAATGATTACATTCCATGGGTATTCTAATCCCATGTTTAATGCGCACAAAAATGTGAATGTGCATTATACACGGCAAAGTACAGTGTACACATAGTGAAATTATGACTACAGCCAAGCTAATTAGCATAACCATCTCCTTACCTAGTCACCATTTCTCTGTGTGTTAAGAGTATCTGAGCCCTGGCTGGCGTAGCTCAGTGGATTGAGTGTGGGCTGCGAACCAAAGCATTGCAGGTTCGATTCCCAGTCAGGGCACATGCCTGGGCTGCAGGCCACGGCCCCCCAGCAACCGCACATTGATGTCTCTCTCTCTCTCTCTCTCTCTTCCTCCCTCCCTCCCTCCCTCCCTTCCCTCTCTAAAAATAAATAAATAAAAACCTAAAAATATATTTTTTAAAAAAAGAGTATCTGAGATTCACTTTCTTAGCAAGTTTTCGGTATATGACACAGTATTATTTACTATAATCACTATACTGGGCATTAGATCCTCAATACTTGTAACTGAGAAATTGTACCCTGGGACCAACATCCCCCCATCCCTCCACCTCAGCCAGCACTCCCGGTAACCACCCCTCCACTTTCTCCTCTATGAATTTGACTTTTTCTAGGTCCTACATACAAATTGGATCATGCAATATTTTTCTCACTGTGTCTGACTTATTTCACTTGGCATAATGTCCTCCAGGTTCATCCATGTTTTTGCAGACAGCAGGATCTAGAATTGACCTGTTTCTTATGTTTATTGTATCTGTCTCTCCCAATGCCAGCAGACTGTCAGTTCTTCAAGGACAGAGATTTGTGTTTTTATTTGTACACTAATGTATCCCAAGTGCTTTAAAAAGTGCCGGGCACATAGTAAACGCTCCATAAACTCCAGGTGAATAGGTAAATGATACAGTTCCAGAAACAGTTTTACATTTGACAGATACTGTCTGAGTGCCTTTCATGTAAGAGACGAAAGGGACTTTACGCCGAGAACCTTCACTATAAAAAACAGGGCTCCCTTTAGTTGTCAAAAAATGGCCACTGGAGGGAGTCCCTGACAGTGGGATCCTGGGACCAAAGCTGTGACCAGTCCACAGCAAGGGGTGGCAAAACCCTGGAGTCCCGGTGGCTCTGTGGCAATTCAGGGCACAAAGCCTGGTAGTTGAGGCACAGGACCGGTGTCCATCCTGGCTCTGCCCCTCTGGGCAGCACCAAGATTGTCTCCTTCGGGTGGGCTTCCTACGAGGTGAACAGGAGAGGCCTGTCAGCCAGGCCCTGCTCACCCCATCCCCGCTCCAGGCTGAGGGGTCTCAGCTCTAGAAAATGCCTCATGCCATAGCTAGGCAAAGTGTGGCTGAACTGTCGGGGGTCTCCAGCTAGATGACTCTGTCCAGTGTGGTGCAGGGAGCGCGGCTTAGCCCTTTGGGCCAATCAGGTGATGTGGGGCAATGGGCCATCTGCTCCCATGGGTCACCAGCCTCCATGTCACATCCCGAGAGCATGCAAGCCACTTCCCCTGATGCCTGGCATGTTCAGTGGCCTCCTCCTGCCCTCTTCTACCGATCAGAGAAAAAGTGCTCGGAAACACAGGGCTGGAACAGCAGACCCCACGGAACATGGTCCGGCAGCACCTCCTGGCTGACCATGAGGGTTTTATAAGGGGGTTCCCTTATAAAAATTAGGAGCATTTTCTGGGTGGAATTAATGCCTTGGAAAAAACACAGACTCATACAAGTTCCCCGATGGGCAGGTGCTTTCATCATAAACGTAATGGAAAATTCACAGAGTTCTGCTTAAGTGCAGCACCAGGCTAGAAGCAGCTCGCAGCCTGCAAAGTTTCCCCACTGCAACCCCACTGCATCCTGCAGGAGCACATCCCCCGAGTCTCCCTCTGCTGTCTGCTCATGCCGAGACTCACAGCCTTTATACCACAGAATCACAGCCTTTATCCTCACAGAATCACAGCCCATGGAGTGGCAGGCTCATTAGAGGTCGTCAGTCCAACCTCCCTAGTTCGCAGATGAATACTCTGATGCTCAGAAGCTGAGCAGCTCACCACATGGAGCTGGTAACAGAGGTGAATCAGGAACCTGGTCCCCTGCCTTACGGCCAGGCCCACCAGCCAAGGAAATTCTGCAGAAGCTATTGCACCCTCTTGAAAACAGGTGCCAGTACTGAAGACGGTCCTGGGAACAACCTGGGAGTACCGCCGCTCCAGTCCAGGAAGGGCAGCGACCCAAACAGTTTTCCATGTCTCTCTCAAGGACTCATGCATATAGAGGAAAACGCTCATCATAAGGATTGTAAGCACATTCACATTTGAGGACATGGAAGTCTGGCTGTCCAGGACCAAGAGTGCAGGTTTCAGAGCAGAGATCGCATTAAAGAGCAGGCAAGCCCTCGCTGGCAGGCACAGCACCCACCCAGCCAGGCTCACAGGTGGTAGTGTGAGTGTCCTGAGCTAAGAGAACACCAAGTGAGAAAATAAGAAAAATAAGTAAACATATCAACTTCAAACTACAGAAAAGCACAGAAAACAATACCGTGAAAATTAGACCACCCCAAAATCTGAATTTAATGGCATGCTGCCAATTGGCTTTTTTTTTTTTAAAGAAATAAAATATTTCAGCCCTGGCTGGTGTGGCTCAGTGGGTTGGGCGTCGTTCAGTGAAGCAGAAGTTTGCCAGTTCGATCCCCAGTCAGGGCACCTGCCTGGCTTGTGGGTTCGGTCTTTGGTCAGGGCACATATGAGAGGCAACCGATTGATGTTTCTCTCTCACATTGATGTTTCTCTCCCTCCCTTCCCTTCTCTCTAAAAATAAATAAAATCCTTCTTACAAAAAGAAATAAAACATTGCAGATAAACATGAAGTTCCTGTGTGCCCCAGTCCAAGTCCATTTCCCCGGACCTCCCAGAGGGAGCCTCCAGCCTCATTTCTGTGTTTTCACTATCATGTGCTTTTTCCCCACTCATATGCATATACAGATGGTACCCTGTTCGACTTAAGACTCTTTGACTTTATAATGGCGCAAAAGTGATATGTGTTCAGTAGAAACCAGCTAGGCTAAATGATATTTGGTAGGTTAAATGCATTTCAACTTACAGTATTTTCAACTCAGGATGGGTTTATCAGGCACAACCCCATCGTCAGTCGAGGAGCATCTGTGTCCATAAATAATCATCAGTGCTGCTTTGCATGTTTTTATGTTTGGTGTAGATGTGAGATGCTACTGTTCGGGCCCCTTCAGGCCCCACTCGAGATCCTCCGAGCTCACTGCCCTAGCTCTAGCTCCCTCCCTGCACAACCCCTTGAACTACTCTCCCCTCAAAGGCTGGTGGTCATGTTCCTAACTTTTCACCGTTACAATAAGCTGTGTGAGCACTGCACGCTGTCAATCCCTTTACACACATACCTGGGAATGTCTCTAGATTATATAAGCAGAACTGGCAGGCAGATCTGTAGAAGTGAGGAGAGTGCTAGGTAACATTTACTGAGCACTTACGACCTGACAGCATGGTGCTGAGAGGTTTCCACCCATCATCTTAATTCTTTCTAACATCTTTTGAGAGTGTGTTCCGTTACTGCCCAAGTTCACAAAGGAAGAAACTGAGGCTTAGAAAGAGCATCTTGCTGATGAAGAGGCCGAGGCTCTTCACGACGGAGCCAGTGGTTCTCCAAGCGTGGCCTCGGAACAGCCCCAGCAGCAGCAGCAGCAGCAGCAGCACTGGAGGACTGCTAGAAATGAGAATCCCCAGGCTCCGTCCCAGACTGACGCAAGCAGGAACCACGGGGACGGGCCCAGGGACCTGTGACTAGACAAGCCCACAGGGTGAGTGATTCTCACGCCTGCTCCAGTCAGAGAACCAGCTCCAAGCTCTGCTCCCTCCTCCACCGCCAGACTGGGCATCAGTCCCGCGGAGCCACCAGCACTGCCCTTTCCCTTCAGGATTCAGAATCTGGGGAGCTCAACTGGTCTGTCATTAGCTTAAGGCATGCAGAGGCTCCTATTTGCAGGAAATACGATGCCATAAGAATTTTCAAGGAAAGTCAAATGATCGGTAAATGCGTGCTTACTTTACTAGAAGCTGCCAGAAACGCTCTCCGAAGGGGTTGCAGCTGACCAGAAACAGAGAGGTGTTCCCGTTTCAGGATGTCTTATCATCATTTTGCACTATCAGAAAACCTCTAGTTTTTGCTAGTCTGGGGGTGAAATTCCACTGAGGTTTTAATTTGTGTTTCCCCAATCAGTGCAAGTGCTGAACATTCCCTCTGGTCGGATCCTGAGGGATCCTCAGGCTGGGAGCAAAGAGGTTCCGCAGTGACACCCGCAGAGGAGTCTGGGAGATGGTCCACACTGGTTCACCTCTGAGACAGCTTTAAGGAACTTCCACACCGAAGCCCAGGGCACTCAGTGGCCCCGATGCCCTACATGTGCCTGGATGGAGGCCCTGACCTAGCCCTTTCACCTTGGTGGCAGCTCCCAAGGGGGTGTCCAGGGACTCGGAAGACTCGGGCCTGCCCCAGAATGGAAAGGGAGTGACCCAGGGCTGCATCTTTGGTCAAGGCAGAAAGCGAAGCCAGGCTCGTGTGACCCAGGCAGCAGACCCACACACCTCCTGCACAGCGAAAGGCTTGCCCGCAAGTCCCCCTTAGTACCTCAGCATTATACTTCTCGTTGATGACAGGCTCAGTGGTGACCAGCTTCATCCTGCTTGCGAACCGCAGTGAGGACAGCTAAAAATAGATCAGACAGACCTCTGTGTTCGTGGGCAATTACTGATGAGCAGAGACATTTGCAAGACAGGCGAAAGGAGCCCACCAGCAGTAACAAATCCCCGCTTAAAGACACATTCCAAACTGGACTGCAGTGTCCCCTGGGCCCGTGAAATCATGTCGGGGAGGTCTTGCCCGGGTCCCTCTGCAGGGGCAGCGAGCCAGGGTTAATTATGGCGGGGGCCCACGAGGCAGACACACAAGCAGGTGCTAGGGAAAGGGCGCCAACACTGCCCCACTGCCCTGATGTCACCTGAGGGGTGGAAGGCTGCCACCCCAGCAGTGGGAGCAGCCAGGGGCGGCACAAGGCCGGCCTGAGATCTCAGCCTCATACCATGCTGGGCTGACTCAGAGCCCTGAAATAGGGAAGCAGACAGCAGACTTGGTGGAGGGGGGAAGCGGGTCAGATGACCCAGAAGTGGCCCAAAGGAAGGACGGAAAGGGCTCTTCCCTTGGCAGTCCGGCTGGGTCAGAGCTCTGGCACTGACCAACCATGCAACCTCGGACAGGTCTTGCAACTTCTCTGTAGAATCGGGGAGACCGGCCTCACAAGGTCACAGCAGACAAAGTGCCGAGGCGTGTGCTGTGCTCCGGGCAGCACTGAGCCTGCAGGAGGACCCCATGTCATCACAGTCGGAGCTGCTTCTGTGTGGGGTGGAGTCGGACTCCTGCTCCAAGCACAGCAGCGAGTGTGGCTGCTGCTCTCCCACTGCGGTTCCTGCCCCTCGCACAGACGGAGTGTTGACACATAAGGCAACGTGACCCCATGAGGAGCCGTTTTAAAGTTTTAAAACAGTCGGAGAAGAGAATCACTAGCTCCCACACCCTCAGTATGTCTTTGTCCCAAGCCCTGAAACTACCCCTCTCCCCACACTGCTCCTCGGGACTCTGTGGGCTCAGTTCTGGGCGCAGACCTTGAGCAGTGTGGGTGCAAGCTTCTGGGTGTAGCAGGTACCAGGAGAGTTGCTCCCTGGGCAGCCACTGTCTCTGGGGTGGGGATACAGGGACAGAGGCCTTCCACTGTCTCGAGGGGCATCTTCCTCAACCAGGCAGCCAGGAGGCCCAGTGTTCACATGGCTCCTCTTGGGATGCAGCCATGCTTTGCGATGCCATGATACAGCGGGTTCCTGAAAGCTCCCTCGGGGGGTGCTGCCTGCACGGCAGAGGGAGCTCCCTTCCCTGGCCTCCCTGGTCCCAGGACACTCAGCAGGAAAGCTTCCCCTGGAAGCTGGGAGGCCCCGCAGGAACGCACTGCTCTGCGGTGTCCCTGGAATGACCTCAGCGGATCATCCAGACTGACTGAAGCTTGCCCTAAACATCCGCACTAGAAAAGCAAAATGTCTAAGGAGCGCTTTCCAAACCTTATTACGACGGGCGGCCCTTCAGAGGAAAGAGGGAGCCCCAGGCTGTGTACCCAGCTGTGTGGGCTCACCTGTGTCACTGTCTCAGCCTGTATTAAGGCCTCTGGTTCTCATACACTTGTCCCCTCCCCACGTCACTCGTGTCTTGCTGCTGGGGGAATCTCCCTGAGTTACAACTCTAGCCACAGCCCTTTCCGACTCAAACCCCACGACAGCCCAGCCACCTGCAGAGCAGCCAAGGCCTCCACCGGACTACCAGGGCCCCATCCAGCGCCTGCGGTTTCTTCTTCCTCGCCTTCCTGAGCCCTACCCTGCAGTGGCTGGACGTTCCTGGCATGGACCACACCTTCAGGCCCACCGACTCCTCTGTCAGGAACATCGCTACTTTCCTGACCACCGAGCCAGCTCAGCACCCATCTTCCTCACCCCAGCTTCAGGAAAAAGGCCCCCTTCATGCCCCCCCCCCAACACACACACACCGCCTCTGAAGGACTCCTCCATCTGGGCCTCACATTCCTCAGGGCCATGGTTGGAAACACAGGCCCAAGGCCACGTATGACGCATGTCTACCGAGCTGCTCCCCGCCAGCCACTTTGCATGAGGCAGGTGCTTCAGACCTATCAGCTCCTACCAGACTCATAACCGTGGCCTGGAACTCAGGGTTGCTTTCAAGATGTTTAAACACGTCTGACTGTGAAGAGCAAGGCATCAGCGGTCCTTGACAGCAGCTCATAGGAGCTGGCTCTCGGCCTCCACTCCTTGCCTAGGCCCCCGTGCCCCGCCTGCCTCCCGCTTTGCCTCTTCCTTGACACAGCTTGTGGCCCTTGGTGCTTGGTGTTTGGGTCCTGGCTGAGCCTCCCTCAGCAGTTGTGGCTGAGACTCATTTCCTGGATCCCTCCACTCTTGACAATGTGTGTGGCTAGCGTGTCAGCTGGGCCAGCGTGGAGCCAGCCCTATCCCACCCAGGCACCCCCGAGGAGGGACTCCAACCTGGTGGCGTTGGCTGTCTTTACGTACCGTCTCTTCTAACTGGGCAGCTTCTCCGTAGATATTTGTCACAAGGACCATATTGCAATTTCCCCCTGCAGAAGGCAGGACACAGAAGGGCCGTGAACCACGTGGGTTTTCTGCCAAGAGACCCTTCTGAGGCTGGCAGGGGTCTGTTGTGAACCGAATGTTCGTGTGCCTCCCAAATTCACATGTCAGAGTCCTAACTGCCAAAGCGATAGTGTTTGGAGGCGGGGCCTTCGGAAGGTGGCTAGGTTTAGATGCGGCCACGAGGGTGGGCTGCCCAGATGGGATTCGTGCCCTTACAAGAGGACAGAGACCAGGGCGCTGTCTCTCTTTCTAGCCTCTTTCTCTTTTCTTTCTCTGTCTGCCACGTGAAGGCGCAGCGAGAAAGCAGCCATCCATAAGTCAGGAAGAGAGTCCTAGCGAGAAGCCATCCCTGCCAGACCTTGCTCCGGGACTTCTGGGCTCCAGAAGGGTGAGAAATAAATGTTACTGCAGCTGCCCAGTCTGCGGTGTTTTGTTGTAGCAGCCCCAGCTGACTAAGGCAGAGTCAGAGAGGACACACCTGCATGTCCGAGGCTGGGAGGCGGGAGGAAGAGGGAGGAAAGGGGGAGAGGCTGCCGGAGGAACCCCAAAGAGGAAGCAGGGGAACGGCAGAGGAGACGCGGCATGAGACCGGGAAGGGCAGGGCCCAGTTCTGCTGACGGCAGCACTTGATTAATAACCAGACTCCAAGGACAGTGTCATCAGGCCCAACACAAAAACCTGGGGACACGAGGATGACAAGACACAGCCTCCACTCCCCTGGCAGGGAGGCTGCAGGGGAAGGAAACATGTTATGGGGGAGGCCTTCCATCTGGGTCTTCAGAGTGACAAAGGGTTCTGTCCACTGGCTTAGGGATGCGAGGAAACAGGAAGGCATCCCCAGTAGGGGCAAAAGCTTAGACAGAGGTGCTGAGGAGTGAACAGCAGGGCAGGCTGTAGGTGCAAAGGCCGCACGTTAAGTCCGCGCCACCAGGAAAGAGCAAGTCCACCACCACCACCACCAGCAGCGGCGGCAGATATGCCCAGGCCTGTCCCCCCTCCTTGTGCACCGATCACCCCCTCACCTAACGAGTCCTTCAGGGCGTGGGTGAGCTTGCACTGCCGGAAGGGGATGTGCTCCCGCTTCTGGTCCCCAAGGGCAATGATGGCCTGCTCCAGGAATGACAGCGACCTGTTGATGTAGGTGGCTTCCTTCAGGACTCGGCCCTCAGACTGCAAACCAAAGGTCAGTTCGGCTTCGGACCAAGTGGAGAGGCGGCCCCCCTAAGAACACTGCTGAGCCTCCTTCCCGGAACCCCAGGGTCTTCTCGCAGTGCCACAGGGCTGTATTCCGTCTGGGGCTAATAATGCTCACAGGGACCCTCATGCACCCACTCACGGATGCTCGTGTGAATGTGAATACCACATGAATATTCATATAAATACTCACTTAAGATTCACGCTAATATGAATATTTTTGCAGATGCTTGGGCAGATAATCCTGTATTTATTTATGCAAATATAAACACACACGAATGCACAAAGAGTGCCCATGTGTTTTTCCACTTGGGTATTTTAACTTATCTTTTAAAGTTGCATATGCTAATTTACAATGTTTGGAATTGGAATTTTAATGAGTCCAATCATAATACTGCTTTATACCTAAAAGTCAAAAAGACTTTAATATACATTACCTTGTTAATTACCATAATTCTAAGTTTTAAATAGGAGGATAACTTATTATCCAAACAACAACCAGAGAGGTTAAAAGATTGATTCTAACCTATAATAGGGCTAAAATTAGAAAACACACCTTACTGCCCCTAGTCTAAGGAACTCTTTTTTTTTTTTAATTTGTCAATTACAGTTGATATCCAATATTATTATATACTAGCTTCAGGTATATACTCTTATAAATACTTATACTAATACTCACACTCACATGAATATTTACTTGAGATGAAATACTTATACAAATACTCCTGGGAACACTCACACTCGTATACAGAGAAATGCTGACCACCAGCATGGAGCATTTACTGAGCACTTCCTGAGTGCCAGGCACCTTGCTAAGAATTTAGGGGCCATGATCCCATTTATACTTTTGTACAAAAGTCGTGGTCTCTGCTAATTCCGTCCGTCTGGTTCCTCAGGGTCAAGCCCACAAGCTCCACCGTGCCTAGCTCAGGACGGCGCTCACAAAGACGGACAGCCCCAGGGAGGGACAGGCCCACGTGCCTGGGCCACGATGCCAGAGGCAGGGCCGTGGCTTGTTGAGAAGGAACCCCTCGCTCCATCCAACCCCCCCCACACACACACACACACTTACCCCAGACTTCCCCAGCCTCTCCGAGCCTGCTAGGTCCACCAAGTTAATTTTGGAAGTGATGTACTTCTCATCTGATAAGGTCCGTGAGTGGGCCTGTGAAACGTCCAAACAGAGATTACGCCGAAGCTTCACAGGAAGAAGCTTCTGACTGAGCAGGCCCCTCGGAGCGGACCGCCGTGCCTGGGCTGTTCAAAAAGCTCGCACTGACCTCCACATAGATGGTGAAAATGCAGTGCGACCTGGATGAGTTCTTGTTCATCGTGTGGGAAGCTATAATCCTGTTGGTTTCTCCCTGAAGAGGAGGAAAAATGCGGACAACACGTTGAAAAATTTAAATAACAGTTAGGCAGTTGGGTCATTTTAACTATACTGACTACACCAATGATCTCGTTATCCTTTCGGTCAGCTGGGCCTTCCAGGAAAATCTCATTTGTAAACCAGTAGGAGACAAACTGGAGTCCAGACCTGTACTTACACCCACTGCTAGGGATGTGTGAATTTGAATAGCTTCCTGAAAAGCGAAATGGCAAGAAAAATTAAGTGGCTTCAAAACGTTCACATACATTGAATCGTAACCAACCTGCATACCCAACCAGCAGGGATGACCCATCTGCACAGTGGAGTGCTATGTAGGCAGGAGAATGTCGGCAGGTGGTTTTTAATCCCCGAGAGGCGGAATCCAAAATCACAGAGCAAACTGACGTGGACACCACATTAAAAGGATCATATACCACGACCCAGTGGGACTTACCCCTAGCACGCAAGGACGGGTTAACATCAGCACGTTGATCAAGGTAACACGCCACGTCCTAGGGCAACACCCGATGACAGCACAGTGTGAGGACGGCAAAAGCACTCGCAGGGGGAAGAATAAACAGATTCTGCCACCGAGATGTTCCTGACAGCCACTTGGCTGGGGTTTATAGGTCATTTTTTCTTTTTTACACAGGTCTGTGCTTTCATTTTACTTTTTTACAGTGAACATATACTACTTTCAAAATTTGGGGGGAAAAATCAGTAATTTGTAGTTTTAAAGGGACAGCAGGTCCTTGCCTCTAATTCACAGGATTGGGTCCTGTGATCAGAATACATTTAAAAGGAGGTGTGGGGGAAACAGCTGTTCTTAGAGGGAAAAAAGGCCCCTCAGTAAGGCTATGGATAAGCCCGAAGCGGTGATGCCACAGCCCCCCAGAGAGCGTGGGCACCCAAGGAGGAGGGGAAGTCCCGGGCCCCAGGCTGAGGAGCAGGCCTGGCCGGCCCCCGGGGGCTGTATCTCTACAGGATGCTCTCTGTAAACCTGTCCCACAAATACAGTGACATTCACAGAGTGTGTAAGGTGTCACTTCCCCTTCATCGTTTGGTCCCCTCTTTCTGAACTGTCCCCTCCCAGTCCTTCTGGTATCTACTACACGACCTCTGAAAGCCTGAGAAGCGCCCTTTCCTCCATGAGGAGTTCTTTGCCGACCGCGCCCACCCTGCCCCATCCATCCAGGAGCCTGTCACCCCAGGAGCACAGATCCCACCGTGTGTCCTGGTCGCCACAGGTTCTCCCTCTCCCTTCTCCACCCCATAGTGAGCTTCTTTTTTTAAATATTTGTTTTCAATTTTATTTATTTTTAGAGAGGGGAAGGGAGGGAGAAAGAAAGGGAGAGAAACATCAGTGTGTGGTTGCCTCTCACATGCCCGCTACTGGGGACCTGGGCTGCAACCCAGGCATGTGTCCTGACTGGGAATCGAACCAACGACTCTTTGCTTCGCAGGCTGACACTCAATCCACTGAGCCACACCAGCCAAGGATCATAGTCAGCTTCTTTAGGCCTCAAAATTGTCCTTCTACCATCAGAGCTCAGCAAAGATTCAACCCTAGAAGGCATCTAGGTTTGAGGAATTACTGCTGCTGACAAAATGCCTGGTTCAGTTCTAAACACGAGCGCTGGAGAAACACCAAAAACCACGCTGCTGAACGACATCCACTGAGCGCTGGCTGCGCGCAGGGCCCCGCGGTGGACGCTCGAGATGCCTGGCCTCGGACCAGCGAGGCTGCCACGGAAACCAGTACGGAGGCTCCCCCGAAAGTGAAAGCTAGAACCATCACGTGACCCAGCAATTCCACCTCCGGGTATTTATAACATAAAAAAGCCACAAGACATACAGTACAGCAATGGTGACTACAGTCAATAATACCGTATTGCATATTTGCAAGTTGCTAAGAGAGCAGATTTTAAAAGTTCTCATCACAAGAAAAGAAGCTGCAACTATGTGTGGGGACAGATGTTAACTAGACTTACTGTGGTTGTCATTCTGCAGTATGTATAAGCATCAGATTCTTACGCTGCACACCTAAACCATTTAATGCTATATGCCTGTTATACCTCAATGTAAAAAAAAAAGAAAAGAAACAATGCCTGATCCCATTCGGGTCTCGTAGCAACCTTCTGGGGAAAAGTACTATCCGTGTCTCCACTTTTATGGAAGAGCAAGTGGGGGTGTGACGAGGTTAGTGACTTGCTCAAGAGGAAGTCTTCAGTGTTTGAAAAAAATCCTGTTCTACATCCCACACCTTTTGTGCTGTATCTCAGCAACAATACAGTGGGCTAAGTATCCAGAAATCCTGCTGTAGCAAAACACCTACAGATAGAATATTTAAAATTTCCTTTTGTTTTTTTTTTTTGTTTTTAGAGAGAGAGGGGGAAAGGGAGGGAGAGAGGGAAAGAGGAGAGAAGCATCGACGTGAGAGAGAAACCTAGACTGACTGCCTCTCATACATGCCTCAGCCACGGCCCGAACCTGCAACCTAATAAGCATGTGTCCCAACTGGGAATTGAACCAGCGACCGTTCGCTTTGTGGGGTGATGCCCAGCCAACTCTGAAGTCACGGCTGAGACTATGAGGAAGCAGGGGAAGTACCCAGCGGCCAGCCACAAAGCAGGAGGCGGAATCCACAAACTGTAAGCAAGAACCAAAGCTCTAGCCGCACTGAGGACACCTGCAGACTGCCGTGTGGCGGCGGTCCGTGCTGGATTTCTTGGTGTTCCTCTGAGCAATGAAATTAAGTTATAAAGGTAACAGAGCAAGAGAACATCTCCTTTTTCTAGCAGAGTAATCTGCTCTTCCCATTCCAAGGGTGGTAGACCCAGAGCCACTGTGTCCTCCGCTGACTCCTTCCTCCCCCCCATCCCCCCACCACAAGCCATCTGTTCCCTTTCAAAGGGCGATAAAAATCTTTCTTTCTCCTGCAGAGCCAAATGCTTACATTCCAGGGTAGAGACCTTTCCCAGGAGAGGATCTGCTTACGTTTCAAAACAAAAGCAATGCTGCTCTCATTCTCCCTACCTGCCCACCCCACTCCCACCCCACCCCCAAATCTCTCTCTAGGCACACAGAGGGGAAGAAGACTTAAGTACCAGCTCCTACATGAGCTCTGAGATTCATAACTCTGGAATTCCCTCCCAGTAACGCAGACACCCTCCCCATCTCGCCCCCTCTGTAAACACACGTGACGTGTGCCCTCACTGTCTTGCTCTGCGACAGACTGGGGTGTAGGAAGCTGTGCTACATTGCTGGAGCCACTATTACCCCTGTGAGGCTCTGAGGACCGCAGCCCTGATTTCCGATGCACGGGCCTGGTGTGTGTGTGTGTGTGTGTGTACACACACATACTTGTGGGAGAGACCCTTCACGGTTTGGGACTCAGCACCTTGTAGTCCGGTGAGCAAGCCGGTGAAGTCAGAAAAAGCTTTGGGTCTACCCAGGGAGGTGTCTGTTAACCTCCGCCCCCGAGTCTGTGCCCTTTGGCCGCAGGGAAACGGAGGGAACCTGCTGCAGAGAGTGGGGAGCAAGGGACTGTGTCAGCACAGGAACTGCCTGGGAATGGAAGGGGTGAAATAACATCTCCACGCACTCACAGTCACAGCCTCTGCTGAGAGTGAGATTGGGCCGAAGTATGTACTCCATCTTATAGGTTCCGATAGCCTCAAAATAAACATTCGACTTAAAAAGGCCCCGGATGGGAAAAGAAAAATAAAACCAAAAATAAAGTATAAACAAACAAACAAACAAACAGGCCCTGGATTGGTAATGATCCTTAGGCTCCTAAAGGAATAAAAAAGCTTCTCGGAAGTAAAATATTCTCAGCCCAAGCCACAAAGCAGACACACCAATAAAGCTCCAAGGAAGTGGAGCTCACAATCAAATCACAAAACACACAGAGGAACGAGGTGCCGTCGGCGAGAGTCAGTAGAACAACTACCCGCAGAACCGCAAAACTGCCCCTGGAGATGGTAAAACAGTGGAATTGTTAAATAAAGAACAGAAAACAAGTGTGCTTAAAAGTTTTAAAGAAATAAAAGGGAATGAAAAACATGAGGAATGAATAGAATTCTATAAAAATAACTAAGATTAAAAGAGGGCAAAATAGAACTTTTGGAAATAGAAAATACAATACTTGAAATGAAAGAAACGGCCCTGGCTGGTGTGGCTCAGTGGATTGAGCGCCAGCCTGCGAACCAAAGGGTCGCTGGTTCAATTCCCAGTCACGGCACATGCCTGGGTTGTGGGCCAGGTCCCCAGTTGGGGGCATGCAAGAGGCAACCAGACATTGATGTTTCTCTCCCTCTCTTTCTCCCTCCCTTCCCCTCTCTCTAAAAAATAAATAAAATCTTTTAAAAAAAGAAATTAAAAGAGATGATTAGATACTAATCTGCAGAAGAAAGAATTAGAAAAGTAGAAAATAAATCTAAAGATATTATTGTCCCAGTTTCTGGTTCCACATGTGAGAAGCGTGGGAGTCACTACTTCATCTTAACAACAAGTGAAAAGCTGAGCACACTGAACGATCCACAGCTTTTCTCAAACCTGTAAGAGAAGTGAGGTCATAGGAAATCACAACTGGAGAGGCAGGAAGATACACTTTGATTTTTGGTGGATGGATTTCTAGGAGTAGAATCACTAGGTCCTATAGAGAAAATTAATGTTTAACTTTTCAGTAAACTGCCAAAGTGGCTGCACCATTTTACACTTCACCAGCAATGTACGAAAGTTCCAACCAATACAACTTTTAAAAGAGAATAACATACACTGTGGAATCTTTCAATTAATTCGCAAAAACTTTTATATACTGAGAACATTAATCCTTATTTTCTCTCCCACAAAGGCCCACGATTTCATGTTAAATGGGTGGGGAGGGCAATTTCGACTATGTAAAGAAAAAACTTCACAGGGAAAAGGACTAGAAGGAAATAAACCAAAATACACATGATTGCCATATACAGAAAGCAAATAAATGAATTTTTTATTCCTTTTTTTAGTACTAAGCTAAAATTGCTAAATGAGTATATATTAACTTGCATTCTGATTATCAAAATAAAAAAACTAAGAAGGGAGGAGGAAAACGAAAGAAAGGGAGGGAGGACGGAAAGGAGGGAGGAGAGGCGGGAGGAAAGAAAAAGCCCTTAGACTTGCTCATCTCACCTCGAAGAGGAGGCTGAACGCATCCTCCTCCTGATTCGTGAGGTGCACCGACAGGCCTTTAATGAAGACCCCTTGAGGGTTTTCCACGATGGTCACTGGCGTGACTGAAGGTCCAACGTAGGGCAGGGTGGACAGGAGGTCAAACAGGCTCTCGTTGTAGATTTCCAGGTAAGAGACCCGCACCGTGACGGCATGTGTGGGGCGCTCCTCGATCATCCTGAAAACCTAGGCGAGAGGTTGGGGACAGCGGTCAGTCACCGAGCGCAGGACTGCGATGCCCAGCCAGTGTTAGGGGAGTTCCGACCTCAGGAGGGGACACGGAGAGGTACGCCCCTTGTCCTAAAAGAATGTACAGTCCAGCTGGTGTGATGGTCATCGGCGACAGTCATTAAAACGTTTAGTCCGTTGGGTGACGTGTATCATCATTTTGATTCTGTGAGGCCTGACTTACAGGCTGGCTCACACCTGTACAATTCCGAGAAGCAGAGGCGTGATGAATAGAAAAAACTCTGGAGTGACGACCTCTTATCTTATGGGGTCTCCCCAGGCTCTTTCACAGCCTTCATTTTTAAGGCTTTATTTATTGTTTTTAGAGAGAGGGGAAAGGAGGAAGACAGGGAGAGAAACATCGATGTGAGAGAGATACATGGATCAGTTGCCTCTTGCTAGCCCCAACTGGGGACGTGGCCTACGACCCAGGCATGTGCCCTGACCGGTGACCTTTCCGTTCACAAGCCAGTGCTCAGCCCACGGACCCACACCAGTGAGGGCTCACATGCGGGACTTCATTCCGTCTTCTTAGTCCCCTGTGGCTGAAGCGGGGCAGGGCAATGCCCGTCTGTGGGAAGCTCCATGCAGTGACATGATTTGTCTCGTGGTCACTCAGATGGTGAGGGTTCGAGAAGCAAAGCCAGAACTCAGCGTTCTCAACTCCTGATTCTCTCCCTGGCACTCATCAGCAGGTGACTTTGAACTGGCCCTTTCCCCTCTCTGGACCTTAATTTCCTTATCTGTCCAGTGGGGAGTTGGGCTCGTTGATCCCTGAAGGCTGGTTCTCCCCTAACAGCCGCGGTCCGTGCCGTCCAACAGGGCAGACACCAGCCCACGGTGGCTGCCGAGCCCTCGCAATGCGGCCAGTGCAAATGAGGAGGTGAATTTCACATTCAATTTCAACGAACTGACATTGAAGCCTTAAAAACTGATGCTAAAGTCAGTTATTGATAAACCTTTAAGTAGGCTGGGGACAACTTGGGTTTGTAAGTCTACTTTTTCGATTGTGAATTTTATGAACTCTAAACACAGATCAAGTATTTCTGATGAGTATTTAGTGTCTAAAATTGAAATGTGCTGTGAGTGTAAAATACACGCCAGATTTCAAAGACTCGGTATGAGAAAAAGAATGTAAAGTAATCTCAATAACTTTCATACTGGTTACATGTAGAAATGATATTTTGGATATCCTGAGTTAAATAAAATACATTATTAAAGTTAATTTCACCTGTTTTACTTTTTTAAAATGTGGCTACTGGAAAACTCAAAATCGCATGTGCGGCTCACATTACATTTCCGTTGGGCAGCACTGGGCTAGACTACTGACATCGAAGGTCCTGAGACACTGAAGCTCTGACAGTGGATTGTTAAGGACATTGCTTCGAAATTCGGAGCATGGATGGCTTATATACTAGAGGGACATCTACACTTCTTACAGGACAGGGGATTAAAAAGCTCAAGATGCTTTTGGGGAAAAGTCCTTTGCCTCCCATCCTCAGGGGGTCCTCATAGAACCCAGGCTAGCAAACCCCAAAGGAAGACCCTTCCATCCTGTCTTTAGTCACACTTCCCAGACCCCCGGGGCAGACTCAGTCCAGACAGCTCACGTCCTGCTCTGTTGCCTCTCTTGGCTCTTTCGGGGGCCGTGGTGGAGGATGCCAGAGCCGGCCAGTGAGGAAGCTGGGCAAGGTCCACATCCCTCATTAAAACCAGGAAGGACCACGATTCAGACCTTCCAAATCCTCAGCGAGAGGCTCACAGACCATCGGAGAGGCAAGAAGCCAGTCAGCGTGCCCCACGCCCTCTCACAGATGAGGAAACAGGCTCCGTGTGGGTGTGGGCCAGAGTCTGAAACCTGAACTCCCGGTTTCCTGAGGCCTCTGACACACTGACCCCCACACAACCCCCCGCCGTGTGCATCCTGTCGACCTTGAAGGCTGCAACGGCTTCGCAGCTTGACCCCCACTGTCTCCAGTGGCTGGCGTGTGGTCAGCCGCATCTGGACAGAGGGGGCTTGTACGACATCCCACCCACGGGCCCCCTCTCTACCTGCTGCAGGGCACGAGGGAGGATCCCCCGGTGCTGGTAGTTCTCCGTCGCCCCCGTCATGGTGTAGGTCTTGCCAGCTCCCGTCTGCCCGTAACACATGATGGTGCCTGCGAACATTTCAGAACGTGACTTGGTGACGTCCAGGAAAAGAGCTGTCACGGACAGCTCTCCCATCCCCGGGCACGCCCAGTGCCAGCCAGGATCCTGGCGCGAAGGGAACCATCGGGGGCAACCAAAGATAACAGGAATTCCTGCCACGGAGGGTGGGCGGGCAGGGAAACAGGGACATAAACTGTCAAAACACAGACAGCGGCCCTGAATCCACGGTCCATACACTGCTCTCCTGTTCCCTCCGCCAAGAAGGAGCAGATCTGACCCCAGCGCTTCTGAGGACGGCGGGGAATCCCAGGGAACGGAGGACTGGGGAGCTTTCCTGGGAAGGTGAGGAAAGAGGTAAGAGCACCGAACTCCGGCCCTTCTTTAGTAAGGTCATGAACTGCCAGGGCTCAGGGCCAGGCCGTCCTGCAGGGCTGGCCCGCAGGAGGCAAGACGGGCTTTCAGCACGGGCTGCAAACCAAAGTGTCGCAGGTTTGATTCCCAGCCAGGGTACATGCCTGGGTTGCAGGCCATGACCCCCAGCAACTGCACACTGATGTTTCTCTCTCTATCTCCCTCCCTTCTCTCTCTAAAAATAAATACATTAAAAAAAAATAAAGAAAGAAGGGCTTTCGAAACCCTCCTGGAGAGATGGAAGCAGGAAGGGCATTTCCTGTGCACGGTGAGAATTCTCTGTAGACTGCGAGTCCCCACAGGACCAGACAGGCTTGCTTGTAGGTCCCATGCCACTTGCAGAAACAGACCACCGTGGCCAGGCCCCGATCTGGTGCGCCGCCCTCTCTGGGAAGACGCGCACTGGCGCCTCTCAGGTCCGTTCGGTCTACCATCACCACCAGGCTCCGGGGCACAAACCACGCAGCCACCCTGGGCTTCGGTTCCCATCCGCTCTTCCTCCCGGTGTGCGCAGCCCAAGCCGACCCCATCCCAAAGGCTGCTCTCAGTCGTTGACACAGCAGACCTGCCAGGCAATGCTGCACCATGGAAATCAGTGTTCGCCCTTGCCACATGGACGATCTAGTTCTGGGACTGGTAGGGGCTTTAATTCAGAGTTTGAGCTGGAAATCAGGAGTATCCATTAACCCAACAAAAAAAGTACAGAGAGGAGTGAGTCACTTCAGCTGGGCCTCAGAACCCATGTGTGGTTCCCCGGCATCCAGGGCCCAAGGCTTTTAACCTCTGTGGGCTCTTAGCTCCTCTGTCTCTACTCCTTAGGCAGATAGCCCGTCAGGGTCAACGAGGGCCACACCTCTGTTATCACAGGGAGCAATCACCACATTTGAGCATCTCCTCTCAAGGGGCTTTTAAAGAGACCTGAAAGTAGCAAACAGTAACATTCTAGTCAGCAGCCACCATGAGGGCAAAGTCAACAAACTGTGATACATTCTGCGGATTTTAAAATCTTTAAAAACATAATAGAGGGAAAGGAGCGGGGCGGGAGGTAAAGGAAGGTCAAGGGTAAAGAGAAAAAGATTTTATAAAACAATCTTACACTGAACAAGTCTGCAAAAATTTCCTAATAAAGGTGCTTTTAATTTACTAAGAAATCAAACTCTGTTCACGTTTCCACTGGTATTGTTTACACAGAACCCTGCACTAGAACAGGAACAGCAGATCATGCCGGTAGGGTGGATGGAAATGACTCCGAGCTGGTAGCCCAGAGAAAAATGTTTGGACGCCATCAGATTCACCGTAAGGGCAGCATATTCGACCCAAACATTTGAGACATTTGACACAGGATAGCAGAAGAATCCCCGTGACTGCTAGAGAGCCAGGGTCATTCTCACGAAGGCAGGGTCCAGGACGCTGGGTCAAGCCATGTCCACAATGTCCCCAAGCAAATTATCAAGAACATGGAGACAAATAAACAAACAGAAGTTAGTTAAGTGCAGTTACAATTTATTTTATTCACCGTGTAATACTTGTTATCTCTTCGTCCACGAGGGCTACCACAGGTTCTTAAGAAAAATAGTTGACGAACTAAATTACCGTTATAGCCGTCGAGGGCCTGAGAAACCACATCCTTCGCGACCGTCTCATAAACCAAGTCCTGGGAGGCGTCGTGGAGAACTCCGTCCAGCCTGAACGACCAGTCTGTCTGCTGGTTATTGACAACGCCTCTCCGAGTGTCTTTTTTAAAGTGAATATCAATGGTCTGTAGAGGAAAAGAGAGGGAGATGAGTTACTGTTTGTTACGAAACGCGTAGAAAAACCACCGCTGGCTGAGGCCTGGTCTGGAGGAGACGGAGGCGGTGAGCTTTAGGGAGAACAGGGATGGGCTGGCATCCCGGGTGATTTCTCTGCGACGGGAGGGGGAAGCTCCCGGGGGGGGGGGGGGGAGGCCACGCAACCCTTAAGCTGGGAGGGTTGGGAGTCGGGAGCACTTCAGTTTTGGTACACCTCCCCCGAGTTCACAGGACGATTACCCCACCGATGACGTGGGGTCAGGCACACTCATCACGTTTTCACTGACTCGGCCTTAGACACATTCAGTCAGCACAGGGAGGCCTCGCATCAGGCCAGAGAGAACAGCGGGCTTGTGACAGAGTCCGGGCTCGCACTCCGGCTCTCTCCCTGCCTGCTCCCACCCACATGCCGTGGCCCGTCTGAGTAACGATGGAGTACCAGCAACACAGCAGGCTCTGGTCTGGTCAGACGGAGTTACTCACCGGTACCAGAGTAAACCAGGGGTGGCTACCTACTTGTAATCAGCTGATTTTTAGATGAAAAGATTTCTTTAAAAAAATTTGTTTTTAGATTTTTAGATCCCTCCATAGCAAGCCGCTGTGGCAGCGGCTGGGTTAAGGACACCTTGGGTTAGGTCAGTGGTAGACTCCTATCTTTGCAACGGACACTGCAGATGCAAACAGACTCTCGTCAGAATCTCACACTGGCTGCCCTCATCCAGGAGCCGCGACGTGGCCACACACAGAAAAACTAAGAACTAGAGAGGCTCGGTCCAGTCGCGCATGAGACTGCCCTGTGCTTCTGTGTTCACTGAAACTGTATCCAGCGGGGTGCAGCTCACAGGCCACACGTGAACTTTCTTCCGTCTGCTAGGACTTTTGAAGGGTGGGCCATTTGCTCCTGAATTCTCCCCTTAAAGACTGTCTTGATGTTGCCCGCAGTAGATCCACAAATGTTTGCTGAATGAAAACAGCCAACACACACACTGTCCTGAGCCTGTCACAGTCTTTAGAAAGATTCTCAGGACAGTGGTGAGGATGTGAGGTTGGATAAGAATAAATCTTTCCAGTTCTCTCGATACGAGTTTCTCCTGCTGCTTTGGTAAGTTCAACGGTCATCACCCTGACACATTCTTATGGTGCCCTTTCGGGAGGTGATATAACAAAAGATCTGATCACAAATGTCAGTTTTTCTGTGTCAGACACAAGAATAAACTCATTCATCAAAAGACAATCAAAAACAGGGATTTCAGGAGCTTCCTCATCAACAGCACTGCAGGGGAATGGTTTGGAGTTGACGGACTCCAGAGCCCACCTGGACTTTTAGCAATGCTGCCTTCGTCCTTAAAAGATTGTGTGGGCCCTGGCTGGTGTGGCTCAGTAGATTGAGCACTGGCCTGCAAACTGACAGGTCGTGGATTCCATTCCCAATAAGGGCACTGCCTGGGTTACGGGCTGTCTCTGGCTCCGGGTGTGTGGGAGGCAACTGATGGATGTTTCCCTCTTTCTCCCTCCCTTTCCCTCTCTCTGAAAATAAAGAAATAAAATATTCATTCATTCATTTATTAGAGAGGGGAAGGGAGAAAGAGAGAGGGAAAGAAAGATCAATGTGTGGTTGCCTCTCACGTGCCCCCTACTAGCGACCTGGCCTGCAACCCAGGCATGTGCTTTAGACCAGGAATCGAACGAGCGACCCTTTGGTTCGCAGGCCCGTGCTCAATCCACTGAGCCATACCAGCCAGGGCAACTAAATAAAACCTTAAAAAAAAAAAAAAGGTTGTCTGGAGATGGTCACACTCCAGCGAGGCAGGGGAGAGCGGCCCGGGTGGGGGAAGCCAAACACACTGCACTTACTTTGTTGTCATCTCCGTATCTGATCATTTCGTGAGCGAAGTCATCAGTGGGTTTGACGCGGACAAACGCATGCACTTTTTTTTTGGTATTCATTCTAGCTAAAAAGAAGAAAACCAGAAAACTCTCAGTAGTCATCATCAAACAACAGCGAGAGGGGAGGCATCGTCCGTTAAGCAGATGAGAGAGGAGTGAGGCACAGTCCCTGACTTCCTGTCCCACTGGGAGCCGGTCTTCCTCTGCACCGCTCAGCATTCCGGCCGCTGCTCTGCCCACAGGACGCCGCCCAACGGGTACGTGTGCTTCCCACGTTACAGCCTGCCTCACTGTCTTCCACCAGTGAGCCCCCCATCCACGAGACTGAAATACAGGGCAAAGAGCGCTCCCTTTTGTAGCCTAATCTTAGCCGGGGTTTCGAGAAATGTTCTGTAATCGAGTCCACGTATGCTTTGCCTCATTCATTACATGTTCCTTGAAAATACAATACTTACGTTGAAGAGCCTTAAAACTAATGCTTTTTCCATCCTGGCTGGTGTGGCTCAGTGGATTGAGTACAGGCTGCAAACCAAAGGGTCACTGGTTCAATTCCCAGTCAGGGCACATGCCTGGGCTGTGGGACAGGTCCCCAGTGGGGGTCACATGAGAGGCAACCACACATTGATATTTCTCTCCCCCTTTCTCCCTCTCTTCCCCCTCTCTAAAAATAAATAAATATAAAGTCTTAAAAAACAAAAACCAACTAATTCTTTTCTTCATTAACATACCTTACTTCCCATGCAGCACCTCCTACTCTACCTCCATCAGACAAACTTTGGTGAGAAAACAGATTTCCTACAAGTGTATTTAATCTACCCCATCATCAAATATGCTTTCTTCTCTGGCCCTCCATTGAGAGAAAAATCACTGACAGTCCCCTCCTTCCTCTTCCTCTCCTAAAACCTAACTATGTTCTCATCATTTTATTTCAGGCAGAAACATATATATGTGTATTTTTTCATTTATACAATCACAAATAATTACCATGGGTAATAAAATGCTAAAATAAACATTTGATGTAGTTTCATGAAAAAGGATGAATGATGCTTATTCAAGTGACAGGGAGGCGACTTAGGTAAATGACCTTCCATTATGTAGAGCTGTCTTATAACGGAAAAGACTTTTTCAAGGTAAGGACCATAAACACCACAAACAGTAAAACAAACTCAGGAGATAGTACAAAAGGGGAATGTTAACCTTTAACGATCTTGAAGACCTTGTCCACACAAAGCATTACCATTTAAAAAAGCTGAACTGAGCCCTGACTGGCGTAGCTCAGTGGATTGAGCACAGGCTGCGAACCAGGCATCGCAGGTTCGATTCCCAGTCAGGGCACGTGCCTAGGTTGCAGGCCACAGCCCCTAGCAACCACACATTGATGTCTCTCTCTCTCTCTCTCCTTCCCTTCCCTCTCTAAAAATAAATAAGTAAAATCTTTAAAAAAAAAAAAAGATATTACAAACCAAATCAAGGGAAAAAAAAAAAAAAAAAGGCTGAACTATACCACCCACAACAGTAACTGAGAAATCTCATCCTCATCTCACTGTCAGGCTATACTAGGCCCTCTCCTGGCAGTGTCTGTGAAAAGTATTTAATGCTGACTAGACAGTAAGTTTGGGTTCTAGCCTTGACAGAGTGGAGAAGCAAGACACTAAGTAGAATAATTGCATGATTTTAATTGCTTTAAGCGGAACTTGAAACAATCAGCTTTTTAGGTGCCTCTTATACGTGGATGACAAAGGATTAACTATTGAGAGCTCTATGGAAAGCTGAGTAAAAACCGATCTGAAGGGGACTAAATTGTAATGGAAAAAATATAATAAATTCCCAGTCAGGGCACATGCCTGGGTTGCAGGCCACGGCCCCTAGCAACAGCACACTGATGTTTCTCTCTCTCTCTTTCTTTCTCCCTCCCTTCCCTCTCTAGAAATGAATAAATAAAATCTTTAAAAAATAAATAAATAAAAATAAAAAATAAAACTTAAAAAATATATATATAATGAAGATTATATTTTTAAAAAGCCGATCTGTAATTTTCAATTGTATTAAATCTGGTTAAGTCATACTAGAAAAGATACAGGTGTAGGAAAATGCACAAAATAATCTCATTGTTCAAAATTATTGGGAAAACTAACAGAATGTAATTTTTAATTATTCCAAGATTTCAGAAAATGTTCCAAAATTTCTAATTTTATGTACACATTTTTCTAAGACCGATCTAATGCTTTTTCCTTCCTTCTTTTTTCTTTTTAAAAATTATTTGAGCCCTGGACAGTGTAAGTCAGTGGATTGAGCACGGGTCTGTGAATCAAAGGGTCACTGGTTTGATTCCCAGTCAGGGCACATGCCTGGGTTGCAGGCCAGGTCCCCAGCAGGGGACACGCGAGAGGCAACTACACATTGATGTTTCTCTCCCTCTTTTTCCTTTCTCCTCTCTCTAAAAATAAATAAACATCTTTAAAAAAATTATTTGAGCCCTGACCTGTGTGGCTCAGATACCTGAGCATCATCCCACAAAGCCAATGGTCACTGGTTAGATCTCCGGTTAGGGCACAGGCCTGGGTTTCGGGCCAGGTCCCAGGTTGGGGGCGTGCAGGAGGCAACCTGTTGATGTCTCTCTCACACTTGGATGTTTCTCCCTCTTTCTCCCTCCTTTCCCCATCTCTAAAAAAATTATATATTTTTTAATTTTAAAAAGAATGTTAACAATTTATATGTATTATCTAAGTTCAGTGAGTGTTAGTGAATAAAAATGACTTCATGTTTTAAAAATACGATTATTCCTTCACATTTCTAGACACAACTTGTGGCGACCACTTGATTTCCTCTAGCAATTATGTTAACTCTCATCAAGGGGCATTGCCTATCTACAGAAGCAAGTTGCACAGAGACAGGCCCTACCCTTTCCTTGTAGCATCAGTGATGCGGACGTAAAGCTCTAACCCTATTACAAGCCCCTCCGATGTCAAATCAAACAAGCAAGCATGTTACTTTCACATCTGCCTGTCATAGAGTATGTGTCCACCTCCTACATTCCTCAAGTGATGATTTCATGGAAGTCTTTCCCACCTTGGGATCACTCAGACCTTTTGATTTTTAGAAAATGAATACAAAAGGTATTCGGGTGAGCAAAAGATAATGGCTTGTCCAATTTTAGTCCTGAAATCTTTGTCTGCAAAATTGATCTTTAGAAACAAAAAGCCACAAATAGCTCTAACATGAATCCCAGATTGAGGAAACTGAGGAGCACGTCTCATCTCCAAGTTCCCTTTCATCGAGGCCCGCAGTTTTCAATCGTTTTCACCTCGTGGCATATAAACTAATTACTAAAATGCTGCAGCAGACTAAAAATATATTTTTTGCTGATCTGACAAAAAAAAATGGGTATAACTTTTATTTCATTCACACCAGACGGCTATTGTTGTGTTGGCTGTTGTCATTTTTTAATTTGACAATCTAAGGGAAAAGAGGTCAGCACCCCTGACTAAACAGGTGTTCCACGTTTTAAGAACTCTCGAGGTGCACTGGCTGCAAGCCACTGCTCTAGACCACTGGGAAGTTGAGAGTGGAGGGGGGTGTGTTTCGACTCAAGCAAACACCCTCAATCTCTAAAGCTCTGGGAACCATTCCCCATGCCAATCTGAGGGCCCATCCTCCTACTCAGGGGACCCTCTGAAAAGTACCATGCAGTAGGACAGCCTGTGGGGGCAGGTGCCCAGGCCTCCCTCCTGGCAGTCCCCCCCGACTGACAGCACGAGGGCAGCACAGGTCAGCTCCAAGCATCACCTTCCCCTCAGAGCCCGCCCCTCCACCGCCTTGCTATCTGCGAACATGCACATGCACATGCAGTCAACCTATCCATGCTTCCCAAGGCCCTCCCCAGGCTCACACCCATGGCTCTAGGTATGCCAGGAGCCACGCCCCCCAGAGGCAAGCCTTGTTTATTAACTACACCCCTCCCCTCCTGTGTGTCTGCTACTCAGCAGCCCCTCAACACCCAGACATCTGGGGACCCCATGCCATCTTGCACTTACTGAAATAATTCTTGTTACTGTTCTTACGCCGCATCATTTGAGTGGGTTTCAGCTCCCAAATTAAGTTACAAACTGCTTGAGGGATAGGACTGTGCCTTTTATTTCTTTTGAATCCCCCCTCAATGTCCAGAACAGTGCCCAGCACAGAGCAGAAGCTCATGAAATGGTGGTTGGTGGTGATGGTCATGGTTGGAAGTCAGAGAGTGGCTGAATCTCCATATGTGGGTCCATCTTCGGTCACTACTGAGAGAGTCCCAAGGGGCATATAATGTCAGTCCTCTCCCAACATCAACCCATAAGCCCACGACCCTTCTAGGAGGACACTTGGTTTCCAAGCACCACTTTCAAGAAGCCATGTTCAGCGCCCCCACCACGCCCTCCTTTTTAGTAGGGACCTGGGGATCTGGTGGGGAATGCCACTCTCACAGGTACTACCCTTAGTTATTTCTGGTGTAAATAAGTAAACCTCTGGCCACCAGAAAAACTCCCTGCTGTAGAGGCTCACACTTTTCTTGTTTGTTTTAGGGGTGGGAATGCCCAAAATTGCCACCAAGCACGTGAAGACTCAATCAAAGGAGAGGGAGCATATACTGGGACAGTAGGCACCAGGTGGGTCCCCATCTTCCAGCACTCCTGTCCAGACCAGAGGCTCTCATGGGAAACTCTCATAGCCACCAGAGTGGCAGCAGCATCTGAACAGCTCCAAAACAGGAGCCAAACGCACCCAGCCTTGGACTAAACTAAAGACTCCGATCCAGGCAGAACTGGCCTTTCTTCTTTTTCTCACCCAACATGCCAGACCCCTCTTGTCGAGTCTGAGAGGTCCTGGGCGGTAGGACCATTCCTGTCCTCCTCTAGAGTAGTCCCTTCATCTGTAAAGCAAAGGGCTCAGACTGTCGATCCTAAAAGCCCCTGCAGTTTTAAAACCGTTACGTGCACGAAAGCCCAGAAAATCTCTGGTCCCCGGCCTCACTCCCTCTGAACCTCAGGCACGACATAGGACCCTCGTGAGGCCAGGGAACCTTAGGTCCGGAGACCCCAAACTTTCAGCAAGGCAGAAGGGGCCCCTGCGAAGCAGCTTCCTGCACTGCCGGGTTTTCAAATCAGGGAACCAAGCTGGTGGACTCCTGGGTGGACCGGTGTTTGGGTCCCAGGCGCTGTCCGCTGCCCGGGAACACACCCCCTCTCGGACCCCCCTTTATCTCACCCCGACAGCGCGTGGGCCCTGCTCACCGCGACGGAGGTAGCAGCCTTGCGGCAGCGCGACCGCTGCAACTGCTGCGAGCTAAAACCAGTGAGCGCGACAGCCCAGCTGTGTACACGGCCTCCATGGCAACGGGCCGCTTCCGGAGGTTCCGGAAGTAGTGGAGTGGTGGCGGAAATGAAGTCTGCGGCCCTCTGTTGAGATACGAGTAAGGTCAGGGCAGAATCGGAAAAACGGGAGATGGGACTGTTGATTTTAGGAAGAATGCGGCAGCTGCAGTCGCGAGACGAGGGTCGGGATAAGGGCACGGAGGCTGCTCAGGAACCGGGAAGCGGGGCCGCAGGGCTTCCGGCGCGGAGCAACTTCTAACTACGGCGGCCGCGCAGGCCAGTCTAATCCCAGGGCCGCGCCGGAGCCGTCGTCGGCGCGTGTCCGCGCCCCGCCCTGATTAGTTTAGAGCCGGCCGGCCAGGCCTGCGCAGTCGCGGCGGCCGGGGAAGATGGTGGAGGACGGCGCGGAGGAGCTGGAAGATTTGGTGCACTTCTCCGTGTCCGAGTTGCCTAGTCGCGGCTACGGCGTCATGGAGGAGATCCGGCGGCAGGGCAAGCTGTGCGATGTGACGCTCAAGGTACCGATGGCTGGCCGGCTTGTAGCTGAGGGAAAAGGGACCGTGTGGGGAGGAAAGAGGGGCGGGGCCGATAGGGGAAGCGAGGTTTAGCGGGCAGACGGGTGGGGAAAGGAGGTTTGAGGGAGACTGTAGGGGAGAGAGGGAGAGGAGGCTTGGGGCTGCGTGGGTTGATGGACTGACTCGGCGTCTGAGCTCTGAGAAGGAAAGGCTGAGAGGCGCGCCTCTGAGGCCCTCGGAGTGGGAGACATTGGGGTGCCCGCCTTCCTTTTCTGTCACAGACAAGAGAAAATTGACTTGAAGCCCCCCCGTAGAGGAAGGGGTGGTGGCCATCTCTACATTCTAATAGGCAGTTCCGAAGCACCTTCTCTTGTCACTGTGGACATTCTTTGTGCCCTCGAAGTTAGCTGTGTTGTAGAGACCCAGGCTTTTCCTTAGAAGTCATTGCTTGCCCCTGATTGTTAGATTAACACCTTGTCTCCTTAAAAGAGGATCTGGAAATCTTTTGATGTGGGCAGCCACTGTGCCCCACCCTGGGATACCTCCCAGCACCACCACCCAGTCCACGGAAAGTGGACGGATGGGCTGCGTGGAGCGGGATGTCGTAACCACTTGTTCCCTGCCGGTATTCTGGGCGCCAGGGCCAGCCGTCCTCCTGAGCTCTGCCTCTGTTCCTGCTGGAGAGGCTGCTGGGCTGCTGCTGGGCCAGCTGCTGAGTCGTGCGGAGCCCCCCCGGGTGGGGAGATGCTGCTGGAAGCCTGTTCCCTGCTGGGCTTTGGCGGCACAGCCCTCAGCGTCTGGAGGACCCCGTTTAAAAAGGAAGTAGTACTATACAGAGCTCTTTTTGCTCTTATTTTCTCCAAGCATAAGGCTACTTTTTCTTCCAGGTGTTTGAGTCAAACCTCCAGAGACGGTAGAGTAGAATGGCTATAGCGTGTCTTTGGAGATTTAGGGATTTGGATTAAAAACCAAGTTGTAACCTTGAGCAAGTTAATTTCTCTAAGCATCCGTTTTCCAAATGCAAAAATAGCGATGATTCCTAATTCTCAGTATTGGTGTGAGGATTAAATGAGAACATTTGTGGCATTTTCTGATAATGCCTGGCATAAGGGTTTTTTTGTTTTGTTTTGTTTTTTAGTTTAACCTTTACTGGCATAAGTTTTTCATCACTCTAAAATGTTACAGAACAGAGCGTTCATTCACTGGCTCTAGCAGAGCCAAACACTAAACACCGAGAATTACAGTGGAGACATATTAGCTATTTTATTAATGAATAGCACCATCCAGGAGAACTGGAAGCTAATGCTCAAATGCCCGGACTCATCCATAGCATGTAGGTTACAGATTATACAGGGCAGACTCACAAGGCACCTCGGGTTAGGGGTTGGTATCGTGCTGGGAGCTGATTGGTCAGAGGTGACATAAGGGGAACGAATCGTTTCTTCAGGGCCTGTTCCCATGCCCCTCTGTCTGGTTTCATGGGAAGGTAGCGGGGGGTCCTTCCACCTTAGGGCTCAGGAACTGAACCATGACTTAGCTCATAATGTTTTCTTTAGCCTGCCAGAGGTCTGGCCTGTGGCAATTGGTCAGGCTGGGGGTACTGTCTTCTGGTTATTGAAGGGGAGAGGGGAGAGAAAGAGAGAGAGAGAGGGAGGGAGAGAGAGGGAGAGAATGAATGATTTCTAGAGCTAGGATTTAGAAATAAATTATTTCATCAAAGTCCTAAGGGCCCTTGGTTTCATAAACCCCTCCCGAAGGAGATTCGTATTCCAGTGGAGGAGCGAGGTGGCCTGAGAGGGGGAAGGGTCTGTAGTGGGAACCAAGGGGGCTGGGAAAAATGAGCTGGACTAAAGGAGGCAGAAGAAGGAAATAGAAATGAGATATTTTTGATAGCGAGGTTTTTGAGGGATTTGTAAGCAGAGGAATGATCTGGTTGTGGCAGTCACACTTGGGGTGAGTTAGAGACTAGTGAAAAGCAGTAATAGGGGAATTTTTTTTTTGGATTAAGATTTAGCCTGAAAGGGTGAGCCAGGGAGAGCCTGTACGATACAGCGAAGCAAAAAAGGCGTGATCGAGATAAAGCAGTGCATTTCACCTCTGCGTCTAATGCAGATGCAGAATGTAGCAACCCTTTAGCATAAAAAAATGCTTTTATGATTTTTTTTCCATTCAAATGCTTTTTGTGCATTCAAAGAGACAAGAGTTACTTCCAAGCAAGGGAATTATCAGAGGTAGTTCCCATCAAGAGTGTCAGTTTGAATCGCTGCATTAGTTTCAAGGATCTGGGACATAGAGACCAGTATAGAGGCACAGGCGAGAGCTGGTCTGGACCGAAGGAAGCATCTGCTTCACTGGTTTTCCAGCTCTTCCCAAGAGCCCGAGACGGAGCTCAGTGGCAGTGCGATGGTGGGGGCTGGGGGCAGCCAAGCAAACCAGGCCCTGCCTTGCTTCCCTCCCGTTCGCTAGAAATCTGTTTTGGTCTCTCTCTTTCAGCATAGCACCTTTTCTGAGACTTCTGGTGATTCCAGACTGTCTTTCAAATAAGCCGGTTGGAAGCTTTTGGGGGTGGGATGGGTTTGCTGACAGGTGGGCCACCCCATAGGGCAGTGGTTCTCAAACTTCAGTGGGCATTAGACTCTCCTGGTGGCCTTATTCACTAGTTGCTGGGCCTCACTTCTGAATTTCTTATTCAGTAGGTCTGATGTGGGCTTGAGAATTTGCACATCTGACAAATTCTTCAGTGATGGTACTCCTGGTCTGAGGCCACATTCTGAGAGCGTCAGCTGCGGGGTGATGGGCCTGTCCCTTTCAGTGAAATGTGCGCAGAATCCATGGAGCTTCTTCAGGCTCCGGATGAGGTGGCATCAGCCTGGCTGCTATTCCAGGAACCTTGTGGTGGGAGAGAACGGGGCGCTCTCGCTTCTGCGTGCAGACTTCCGCTGATTCCCCAGAGCGGTGCCGCCTCCTCGTCCTCAGTGGTGCCCTGGTCACCTGAGTCCGGAGGCTCTCATTTGTCCTGTTCAGAGAATAAACTCCAGTTTGCTGCTGGGACAGAGATGGAGCAGGGCCCTGCCTGGGATGGGGACTAGTCCTGCCTGTTTTCAGCCTTCCTTCATGCTCACCCCCGGAGAGAAGACCTGCACGTCCCCAGCGGCTGCGTTTGGGACGGGTCTGCAGTAGCTGGCCATCCGCAAGGCTCAGTGCTCTCCATCTGAGTCCGTTGCTGCTCAGCTGTCTGCTTCGCATCTTCCAAACTTTGGTGACATTTCTAATCTCTCTCTCTCCTTCAGCCTTTTTCTTTGGGCGCTCTGCTGTTCCTTGACTGTCGGTCTGAGAGGCCGTGCGCAGAGCCCAGACTCAGGCCTGCCTGGCCTTGAATCCTGCTGCGCCCCTTCCCAGCTGTGAGAGCTTGGGCAGGTTCCTTAGGTGCTGGCGATTCAGGTCCTTCATCTGTGAAGTGGGGATCATTTCCTACCTGACGAAAGTGTTCAGGTTTCCACTAGTCAGTACAGTTAAAACAATTGTGTGGTCAAGGAATGCTCAGTGAGTGCAGATATTTAAGAATAACTCCTGGGGTTTCTAGAGGAGTGGAGATAAATGTGTGTGTTCAGCCTGCCATTTTGAGTGTGTCTTAACTTCTGGTGAATTCTAAATGATTTTATCTAAATAGAATTGTATTGCCTTAAGAGAGTTTGCATACCACGCCTGCGTGTCAGTGGCCTGCCTTTTACAGCTGAGGACCCAGGCACAGCAGGAGAAGGGACTTGTCCGGCGTCACAGAGCAGCAGCAGGCGGAGCCAGGGCTGGAGACCAGACTCCTCGTCTCCCCACGCCGGGTCCTGTGTTTGTTCATGCTCTCCCGCTGCGTCGCCCGTGGCTGACGGTGACCCAGCTGGTCCCAGCTGCTCCCATGGGAATCAGTCTACGTCAGGTCATTTGTAATCATTCTTTTTTTAAAAAATATATATTTTTTATTTTTTAATTAAGATTTTATATATGTATTTTTTAGAGAGAAGGGAAGGGAGAGAGAAGTAGGGAAAGAAACAAGTTAGCTTCCTCTCGCACGCCCACCATGGGGGCATGTGGTCTGCAACCCAGGCATGTAACCGTGGCTGGGATTCGAACCAGCAAACCTGTGGTTCACAGTCCAGCTCTCAGCCCACTAAGCCACACCAGGCAGGGCTGGAATCAATCTTAATATGTCATTTTTGTTGTCCTGCTGAGCGTTAAGGAGAGTGTGAGAGTCAGCATTAGCAGGCATGCGACATTCTCAAAATTCGCCACCAACTTTTGAACCTTGCTCAGTTTTCTTTTCGGAAATATTTGAAATTTAAATTCCTTGGGTGTCTGTTGGATAATTAAGTAGAGGCGTGATAAAAAAGAGTAATATATTAGATTTTTTAAAAATCATATTCTGTGTCTGTGATGCCTTGAACCTCTTTGAAAATGAAAGCAGTGAACCCAGAAAAATACAGATACTTACGTATGTGCAAAATTTTACAGTCAGTCTTGAGAACCGTTCCCCCGAGGCCCATCTTCGGATCTTGAGTTACGAATCCCACTGAGTCAGATTCTAGCAGATAAAGCCCGTGGTCCGTCTCCCTGGCAAATCATTTTATCTTAAAGGTTAGGAGGATAGTAATGCACAGCTTCCTGGCAACCTATAGCATAGGCTTGGGCTGGGCACCCACAGAGGCTGGCATCTCCCCCTCCCGGCAGTGGGGTTCGGCTCCTTTCCTGTGGGCCCCTGGGAGCCCAGGGCTCAGGCCACGCCTCTCTGGTGCATCTAGGGTGAGCAAGAGGGACAGGCTCCCCAGAGTCAGTGAGTGTTCTCCACAACTTCTTACTCATGAGGCCTAGACCCACCAAATTTATTCTTTCTAGTCTCCCCTCACCTCACTCGCTTCTTTCTTTTTCTTTATTTGTGAGAGCAAAATGGGGTCACCAAACCTGCATACTGTTTGCTGACCCATAAGCTTAAGAGAGAGGAGCCGCCTACACACACACACACACACACACTCTTGTTTTGCAACCACTAATAAGTAGCTCCTCAAAGATCTGCTGCTATTGGTCTTCCCAGCGTTTTCCCAAGGCCCCTGCTGAGGTTTTGATCCCAGATCTGAGAATTTAACCCGCAGAAGGAAATGTCTTTTTCATGGGCGAAAGGCCCAGTGTTAGCATATTGCCTTGTGGCTCTGGCCAGGTAGCAGCTCAGGTGGCCAGAGCATCATGTGACGTGCTGGGATTGCAGTTCGTTCTCCGACCGGGGCGCATACGGGAGGCAACCCAGGGGTGGGTGGACGAATGGAGCGACGGGTCGGTCTCTCTCTCTCTCTCTCTCTCTCTCTCAAATCAATTTTTAAAAATATTTTAGAATACTGCCTTTTGACCCACTAAACCCAGGTACACAATTGTCACTGAAACTGGCTTCAAGTGTCACACGTGTGTGCCTGGAATCTTGTCTAGTGTGTCACACTGATTTTGTGATGAAAGAGTAGGTGGAGAAGGATTTCACAGAGCGAAGTAGGGCTTGTTGATGCATGCCACTGGCATGTCATGTGTCGGGCAGCGAGCTACCCAGGTGTAATTACGGAGAGCTAGAATACAGGTATTAAAAGGAGCCCTGGAGTTCCTGTGTCAAAGCCATTCATTTTACAGAGGAACAGACCCTGAGGCATGGTGATACTAAGGGGTTGCCCAAGGCGAAAAGCTCTATTATCTGAGCGCCAGCCCAGCTGTTGGTTGGTGGACGTGATGCCGTTGCGGCCCCTGTGGGATTACTCACCTGGCCTGCTGATGGCGTGACGCAGAGCAGGGAGCGCACGCCATCTGCAGTGTCACCCTTGAGCACGGAGGGCAGGGGTGTGTACGTCCAGGTGCAACACCCCTCGTCTCAGGAGGGGAGAGAGAGGCAGGCTTTTTCTGCTAGTCATCCGGGCGCAGGGATTCTTGATTCTCTTGATTTTGAAGTGACACTGTGTGGGCAAACTTGTGCTTCTGAATGAATATTCTTCGTTCCCTGGATTTTCTGCTGACTTCTTTCAGATCATGGTGTTCATTTTCAGCCTTACCTCTCCATGAGCAGTTAGAACTGAGAGGAAGAACGTGCTTTTTGAGAGGACATGTGCACTTGTGATAGGAATTCATACTCATCAAGAAATCAGTTTTGCCCTCTTTCCTCTTCAGGTTACATTGTGGGTAACGCTGTTGAATTTGGACATCGATTAGATGGACGAGAGAGTTTGACGCTGCCTGACATGTGGTTGGGGAGAGAGAGCTGGAGGAATCTTGGAAAATCAGTTATCAAAAAAGCAACCTTCATGGGGTTCACCCTGAGACTTGTGGAGTTTGGCCGGCCGGCCGGCCAGCTGGGTATCTTAAGAAGCCTGTCTGGAGATGCTTCTTATTGGATGCAGGAGGTTCCTTTATTATTTTGTATGAGACTCTAATGTTTGCCCCTTGGCCACTCCTGGTCATCGTGTAGGCTGGCTGATGGAAAGTGAGACCACCGTGTTTTTCTAAAGGTGTGTCCTGAGCCCCTCCTAAAATGCAGGCGTGGCATCCACTTTCCTACTTCCGATTTGTTAGTGTTGCCACCCCGTTGTGTGGTTCCAGCCAGCTTCCCGACAGTTTAGTAAGGCCTTTTCCACCCAAACAGCTGATCACATCACCACTTGTTTCCACTTGGGGAGAAGGAACCAGTATGTGTGACCTACGAGTTGGCAAGCATTTTCCATCAAGAGCCAGATAGTAAATATTTTAGGATTTGTTGGTCATACAGTTTCAGTTGCAGTTACTCAACTCTGGTGTTGTAGCACCAAAGCAGCTGTACATAACACATACGCAAATGGATTTGGCTGTGTTCCGGTAACACTTTATGTATACTTTATGTATAAAACAGGCATGGGCCAGATCCACTGGTTGTAGTTACCTGACCCCTGTCATATACTGAGATGGCCTTTGTAAAGTTTAAGGCCTTTGGAGGAGGGAACACTTGCGTTATTGTCCCAGCGTATACTTCTTCAGTTTCAACACAGTATCTAGAAATTGGAAACATCTCTTGTTAAAACAAGAGTACAAATGAACCAGAAGTGAAGAATTTTTTGTTTTTCCAGCTCACTGTAGGTGATCCTGGGACTGTCCTGGTTGATGACTGAATAACGGATGGAGGAAAAGTTACTGTTAAAATATTCTGATCTTTAAAGTCTCGCAGCTCTGCTAGAGCTTGAGGCAGACTATTCCCAAAGCATTAAGTAAAGACATGCTCCCTTCCTCAGTGAAGCTGAGGATGCTTAGCTGTTTGCAGAACAGCAGGCCATAGGAGGCCATGACGGCCCCTGTGTTCCGGTGGATCTGACCAGCTGTGTTCAAGGCTGTGAGGCTAAGGGCCAGAGTTTGGGTTTTTGGCAGGCGAAGTGGATCAGTTCAGATGTGGCCCAGTCCATGACTGGTGTGGCTCAGTGCGTTAGGCTCTGTCCTGGGAGTTGAAAGGTCACCAGTTCAGTTCCTGGTCAGGGCACACGCCTGGGTTTCAGGCTGGGTTCCCAGTTGGGGTGTGTGAAAAGCAGCTTGCACATCGATGATTATCTCCCTCTCTCCCTCCTTTCCCGTCTCTCTAAAAATAAATAAATAAAAGCTTAAAAAAACAAAAACAGTCCTGGCTGCTGTGGCTCAGTGGACTGAGCACAGGCCTGTGAATCAAAAGGTCACCAGTTCGATTCCCAGTCAGGGCATATGCCTGGGTTGCAGGCCAGGTCCCTGGCTAAGGGTGTGGAGAGGCAATTGGTCAATGTATCCCTCACACATCAATGTTTCTCTCCCTCTCTTTCTCCCTCCCTTCCCCACTCTCTAAAAATAAAGTCTTTAAAAATAAAATAAATAAAAAACAAAACAAATATGGCCCAATATGTCCGTGCAGAGAGTGCTGCATATCTGATCAGAATACAAAAATGCTTTCAAAAAATAAGCCCGGGAACAGATATTTGTCCACCGTGGTCATAGCAGCATTATTCACAGTAGCCAAAAGGTGGAAGCAGCCCAAGCATGCACCGATGGCTGAATGCATAAACAAAATGTGGCACATTTTGTTCCATACGCACAATAGCATATTATTCGGCTTTAAAAAGGAAGGAAATTCTGACACACGCTACAACGTGGAAGAACCTAAAAGGCGTTATGCTAAGTGAAATATGCCAGTTACAAATGACAACTCCTGTGTGACTCCACTTGAGAGGAGTAGTAACTGGAGTAGTCAGGTATTTAGGAAGAAAGTGTCCTGGTCACTGCTCAGGGGTTGCGGGGGCTGGGGATGGAAAAATGAGTGTTCAACGGGGACAGAGTTTCAGCTGGGGAAGATGGAAAAGTCCTAGAGATGGGTGGTGGCGCTGGTGCACAGCCGTGCGAGTGTACTTAGTGCCACTGAACTGTGCCCTTAAGTGTGGTTAAAATGGTGAATTCTATGTTATGCGTCTTTGACCGCAGTTAAAAAGAGAGAGAGCTAATACACTCTGGAAGAGCTGTCGCCAGGTGGCAAGTGAGATCGCTTGCAGTGCTTTTTGACTGTGGGGATGCTGAAAACGATCTGTTTCTGTATCCAAACCCTCTGATAGAAACATTTGGTACCAGTGAGTAATCTTTCCCACTCTCTAGTTTTTGTAGTGTGCCGCCGCAGCTGTGAGGAGCAGGTTTTATTATTATTATTAGCTCAGCCCAGTAGCTGCACTTCAGATGGTCGCCTAAAAGGAATCGACTTACGGGAGATGCATATTTAAGTGATGCACACAAGTTGTAAGCTTGTTTTTCCTGTGTCAGTTTGTAAAATCTCAACGTCACATGACCTTCCCAGAACTATCCTGAGGATCAGCAAATAACACTGGGCTCACACGTCTTCCAAGTAAAGGCTTGTTGGCATAGTCGACAAATTACAAATGGCTTTCAGATCCGTATTTCTGTCCTTATTTTGCTCCTAAATACTAGACCTACCCTTCCATTTGTCCCATTGACCCTCACACTCATTGTGTCTGCGATGAAACTCCTTTCCCTTTTGCTCCCTTTGTGTGTGGATGGCACGCCATCCTTCTAGTTACATAAGACCGAAATTCTGGCCTTGGCCTTGGCTCGCCCTCTCTCCTTCATGTGTATTTTGTGGCATTTATCACAACAGCAATTATATAATCATGTACAGTATTGTAGCTCCGTGAGAGCAGGGGCTGTGACTGCATTTTTACTGAGGTATTTGCATAATAGGTGCTCAGTAACCCCCCCGTCCTAATTTAGGCACTCTTCGCCTTTCACCTGCGCCAGGGTCTGGTTTGGTTTTGATTTGCTTTTTAAACTTCACTGACATGCTGCGAGATTTCCTCCCCTTCGGGGGGTGGATGACCCTTGTTCAGCTAAGGGATTGTCTTCCTTCCGTCTCAGCTCTGATTGTGTCGTCCTGCTCCGAGCGGCTTCCCATTTCATTCTCATTCGGCGTGCTCAGCAGCTGTGTCGGTGCCAGACGCTGTTCCGCGTGTGGGGACACAGCAGTGGGCAGGGGAGGCAAGGCCTCTCTTGAGGAGCGTGAGCTTACATTCTAGTGGGGGCGGTCGGCAGACAATAAAAATAAATTGAGGTTAAGTGCCCAGTGGCGGTAAGTGCCGCGAAGAACAGTAAGGGGCCTGAGAATGCCTTTTTGTTGGAGGGACCAGAGCCAGCTCCCGTGAGTAAATCAGAGTGAAGCGCGGGCGTGGTCCACGCGCATACCGGAGGACGAGCATTCTGGAGCGCTGAGGCAGGAGTGCATTTGGCGTTTTTGGGGAAACGGCAAGCCGCTGGGGTACTCAGAGTGGAGTGACCTAGCAGGAAAGGGAAGGGACCTCTGGGGTTGGAGAGGGAGCCCCCCAAGCGCAGCACAGTTCCTGGTATGACTCAGTAAATGCTTGTTGGAAGAGTGAGGACATGAAGGAAGGTAGACAGTAATCGTTCCTGTATTTATTTACGGATGTAGGTCAAGGCAGGGTGTTAGGGGTGTGCCTAAGAGAGGTAGGATGCATTTTCCGGAGGTCATGAAGAGAGCACGGGGTTTCACCTGCACCTTCCCCTGCTCCTCCCTTTTGGGAGAGACTGATTTTGGCTCGTTCTTGAAGGAGTTCGATTCTTGTGCATCACAGGGAACGTTAGAGGCTGGGAGCTTGTCAGCAGAGCGGGAGGTGGAGCAGAGGTCCTGAGCGCTCGGTGGTTCTGACAGGTGCTCCTGTCCGTGGTGGGTAAAGCTCGCCTTCTGTCCCCACGTCCACACCGCAGGCTGCCACTCTGAGCCAGCAAGATGTCTGCGGAGAGCCCTGGAGGAGTGGGGGATGCAGGAGCGGCAGGTGGCGCCTGGTTTTCAGTAGGATTAAGGGGAGGACTGCTGATTTAACTGAATCTCTGATTATTCTAAGCTGCTCACAGAGATTCGTCACTGCCCTCTGTGAGACGGAAGAGGCAGAAGCTTAAGGATGTCCTGCTGCTGCTGACCGCCACTCCCAGTCGACTTTTCTAGGGCTGCCAGCTGTGTTCTGGATGTTCGAGGACCTCCAGACTCGGCCCCCTCTCCCCGCCCCGCCCCGGGTTGCCCACGGTCTCCCCCTGCTGGCTGTCCCCTCGTGACCTGTGTTCTCCAACTTTGGGGCCTTTGCTCTGGTATTGCTTTGGCTCGGCGCCCCCGCCCACATCTGCCGGCAGAGTCCCTAGCCATGCCTGTAGACCCCCTGCACACTTCCTTTTCTCAGGGGGAGAGGAGCGGCCAGACACTCCTCCCCCCGTTCTCCTCGGGCACTCTGCCTTTGTGTCTGTGCAGCGCCGTCTCCCTGCCAGCCTGTGTGGTTCTGTTAGGCAGAGGCCTGGGCCAGCTTTCTTCTCTTGCCCTGCCCTGTCGCCCTGGGGTTCTCTTGGGTGAACCCCTGTCCCTCTGAAGACCGTCTCCTCACGCCCCTCCGGTGCAGCCGCTCTCCCCCTTTTCTGTGGCTCCTCTGCCCCTCATCACTTGGAGTGCTGTCGTTGTACCTGCAGCGTCAGCGTCGCCTGAGAGCCTGTGAGGAACGCGGACTCTCGGCGCCCCCCAGACCCGCGGGACTGCAGTCTGGCGATGCGTCCACCCGTGCGCAGGGAGGTCTGAGAAGCACTGCGGTGACGCTGCGCCCCTGCCGCCCCTGCCGCCCCTGCCGTACTGGGCAGAGTGTGGAGGTGCCTGAGTGTTTTCCCCGCTCCGTGTTGAGTTCCTGAAGCATGAGAAATACCTATCGGGCGCAGTTCTTGTCACGTGTCCAGGGCTGAGGAGTGTTTGCTGAGTTACCCTACGGGCCCCTGGCGTTACGTTTGAGGTGCTCCTTCGGTCAGCGTGTGACCGACGTGCGTTGACCTGTGCCTGCCGCTTCGCCAGGTGCACGAGGGAGTGGCATGATCGGGAGAGGCAGTCCCGTCTTTGGCGCTTACAGATCGGTGGGGGAGAGATGCCCATCAGTTCGTTAGGAGACAAAGCAGAGTGTGCCCAGTTCTGTACCTGCACAGGTATCCCCAGAGGCCCACAGGAACACCGAAGGCATGGCAGTTATTTCTCGCTCAGAGGATCTGGGGTGGTTTCATCCTCATAAAGGTGAATAGGACTTGGACAGACAGACGCTGTGGGAAGAGGTATCCCAGGCCGGAAGAGCCTGTTCTAGGGCCCGGGCACGAAAGTTCACATACCGGGTGTTTCTTGAGCAAGCGGCACTGGAGGAGCAAGGGGGAGGGTGTACTGGGGAGGGGGGTGGGTGCAGACTGGACTTCAGTTCTCGTGGAGAAGAGTCTGGACTGGTAAGAAGCATCTGCAGATCACGTGCTATCGCTGCATTTCGGTATTTGGTGGTGTCTGTGGGCTCTGCCCTCCTGTTTCCCCGCCCTCTCCCATTCTACCTTGCTGGACATGGGTGGGAGGCAGGGGAGGGTTTGGAAGAGGTGGGACAGGCCTGAATATTGTAGCTGGCTCTTTATATGGGACCATAGCCCCAGGTCTTGTCTTTTTAGTGCTAGGTGGTCAGCCACTTCCTCACCCGCTTTCGGAGTCACTTTACCCATTGGGGCCCCCTAAAGCAGAAAGACCCAAGATGCATCACTAAAGGGTTTCAGACAGTGTGCTTTAAAATGCCATCAAAGCCCCAAACGGAACCCAGTATGCTTTACTATGCTTGCCGTCTGTCTGTCTTCCAACTCCACAAGTTTGTGAGGACTGGTGATTTCTGCTTATGGCGGGATGCACAAGCGTCCGTCCAGCATTCAAGATAAAGGACAAACCTCTTCCTCCATTTCCTTACCTTCTACCTTGTTAGAAACATACCCAAATAAGGCAGCTGTGGGTGGCTTACTTCTTCTAGGGGTAGGAGTGCACTGTTACGTTAGCCTGGAAGTCCAGCCCTCCACTAACCGCCCTAAGCCTTGCCATGTTTTTCTTGAGCTTTTTATTTCAGCTATTTCGGATAAGGTTAGAGAGTAACCCTCTCTATACTTTATTTATTTACTTTTTTTAAAGAAGGATGAAAGGAAGGAGAAAGAAAGGGAGAGAAACATCAGTGTGCAAGAGATAAGCATCGATTGGTTCCCTCTTGCACACTCCCAACTGGGGACCCGGCCCGCAACCCATAGGCACGTGCCCTGACTGGGAATCGAACAGGCAACCCTTCAGTTCGCAAGCCAACACTCAGTCCACTGAGCCACACCGGCCAGGGCTGAGTTCTTGATGTATATTTTGGAGATCAAACCCTTGTCCAAGGTGTCACTGACAAACATGTTTCCCCATGCTGTTCGTTCCCTTTCCATTTTGTTGGTGTTTTCTTTAACCGTGCAGAAGCTTTGTAGTTTGATGTAGTCCCATTTGTTTATGCTTTTTTAATTTTTAAAATATTTTGTCTATTTGTTCTTAGAGGGGCAGGGAGAGAGAAAGAGAGGGAGAGACGCATTGATATAGGAGAGAAACCTCGATCCATTGCCTCTTGTGCGCCCCCAGCCAGGAACCTGGCCCACAACCCAGGCATGTAGCCTGACCAGGAGTCGAACCCGCAACCCTTTGGTTTGCAGAATGACATGCAGCTCACTGAGCCATACCAGTCAGGACTGTTCCTGGTGTTTTGAGAGTGTTTATGATGGATCACTGTTGAATTTTGTCCAATGCTATTTCTACATCAATTGAAAAAATCGTGTGGCTTTTCTTTATTTAGCTTGTTAATGTGGTAGATTATATTGATTGATTTTTTTAAACATTGAGTCTGCCTTGGATCTCCAGAATAAACTATACGTGGTTACCATATATAGCCCTTTTTATATGTTGCTGAATTTTATTTGCTGGTACTTTGTTAAAGATTTCTGCATCTATATTCATGAGGAGTATTGCTCTGCCTTTTTCTTTGTGCTATCTTTGTCTAGTTTTGCTATTAGGCCAATACTAGCCTCATAAAGTGAACTGATTGTCTCCTCCTCTTCTCTTTTCTGCAAGAGACTGTTTAGCATTGGTATTAACATCATCAGGGTGTCATTGTGGTGACAGAAAAGGAAGGTGCAGCATCTCTGCTGTCCACACGCACAGAGGAGGAGCTGAGAGGCCCTTGTTCCTGTTTTTCTGACCTCGGGCAGGTCCCATACCTCAGAATTATGGGGATTCAGATGATGGGCGTGGTTATCTCTATCCAAAATAGTAACTTTTCCAAGAAAGTAAACTGTGGAATTCAACATGTGAATCGTCCATGCAGGGGATATCTGTTGACCATCTCTGTGTATCTCAGCGTTCCCAGTCGATAAAACACCATTCTTGCCAAATGCCTTTGACACCGGTAATGGGTGCTGTCACCAAAGCTATCAATGCGGTCCTGTAACATCTCTGACTGGTGAGCAGAATGGGGGCCTCCAGGCACCACAAGGGCCCATCAGAGCTGAAAGAAGCCACCCTTCGTTTTAACCCGTTGATTAAGGCCAAGAAGGAGGATTCCCCTTTTCCGGATCCCCCCAGGGGTTTGTCTGAAGGGCAGTGCTCAGGCCTCTGGCTGAAATGGCAGCCCTGCCTCAGTGAGACCAGTCACTCACCGGTTCATGGAGTCAAACTGGGGAAAAGACAGGGTCGGTGGTGGGCCTGGGCGCCTGGAGCCCTGCCACGACTCTCTTTCCTTGCTCTGCACCCTCCTCCCCTGCAGACCGGTCTATCATGCGTGGAGGGGTGGTGCATCTGAGAGCTCTCTGCTGCCCTGGAGGATCCACCCCCTTTCAAATCCTTCTGGTGAAACGCCCCGCAGAAGGGTCTGACTGGGAGTGCGTAGGTCACGTGTCGGGTCCTGTGGTTGCAGCGAAGTGAGAAGTGCCCGGAAGGTCGGGAACCCTGGACAGAACTGCCATGAGACCAAGTCTGCAGCCGGTCATATGTTTTTGGGAGGTTTCTAGTGGCATGTGTGGAAGCCACAAGTGTTTTTCTGTTACCTTCAAGTACCATATTTTGCCATGTATAATGCGCACTTTTTTGCCTACATTTTTGAGGGGAAAATAAGGATGCGCATTATACATGGGTAGTAATAATTCCATAGCTATATAAATGTTTTTAATTCTTTTATTTATGCTTGTGTGTTAAAAAGGTAACTCTAGGAAGCAATAACGATATCCATATGCAAAATAATACCCTGGGATATGATGATCAGTCCTGTTTCTAAATATAAATGAATAAAC